AAACACAGGGGAACTTTGTACGATTTCAAGATTGAGATTTCATCCCTTTGAGTTTCACTTTCTGTTTTTTTTTTTTTTTTTTTTTTTTAATAAATTTGTAAATTAATTTTGAAGTTAATCAGAATGGATTAGTTAAGTCAAATTTTTACATAGACTCAAATAGTTTTTTTTCTCGAATGTTGCCTCAGTTTCTCAACCATCATATATAAAATATTCAAGAAGTAAAAGAGTTTTTCTTTTTTAATAAATTTATAAATTTGACTTTGAAGTTAATCAAAAAGGATGAACGATTAGCAAGGTAAAACTTTTACATAGGCTCAAATAGTTTGTTTTTTGAATGTTGCCTCAGTTTCTGATAGTACATCATATGCAAAATATCTGAGAAGTAAGAGAATTCTTTATCAATCAATTTTGAAGTTAATCAGAAAGGATGAACTTTTGCTGGTGCAGGTGAAAGTAAGTAGCCCGGATTATGCGAACATGAACAAGGAGGAAGTACTGGCCGATTTCATGCTGCGAATCGAGCACTACCAAGAGAAATATCAACCGTTGGACGAGAATCAGGAAAGCGATCTGTCCTTCATGAAAATTTACAACACTGGCGAGAAAGTGCTGGTCCACAAGCATGAGGGTCACATACAAAGTAGGATAGTCTATTACCTTATGAACATCCATATAGTGCCACGTACGATCTATTTAACTAGGCATGGCGAGAGCGCGATGAACCTCGAAGGTAAGATAGGCGGTGACTCGGAGTTGAGCGACAGAGGCTGGGAATATGCCAAAGCATTAGCTAGCTACATCACTAGCCAGAATATTCAGGTACATGGCATAATTGTATGGGGCATGGAAAATAATCTTTCGCTTCTATGATTTGATGAAAGTAAACGTAATGTTCTTCGTGGTTGTAGGGATTGCGAGTGTGGACTAGCTGGCTGAAGAGGACCATTCAAACGGCTAGTGACGTGAATGCACCTCAGGAAAGGTGGAAAGCGTTAAACGAGATTGACGCGGTGAGTTGAATTAATTGTCCTCGTTTCCATCGGAAAATTTGGATAAACCTGAACAGAAGACATTGAAATGCTATTCCAAAATTCTTTTTCTTAACCGTCTGATGTTCAACTAATAAAAGAGTTTGTATTCCATTATATACAATAGTTGCATTGGAATGGATAAAACATCCATTTCATATCTAATAAGTAATATTGAATGGATGATAATAAAAATAAATAAAATAAAAATATTTGCACGTAGGATTATTTATGGAATGATAATAACTAAACTATGCATGTACAGGGCATCTGCGAAGAAATGACTTACGAAGAAATTGCAGACAAGTATCCGACAGACTTCGCCGCAAGAGACCAAAATAAATTCTCGTACCGTTATCCGAGAGGGGAAAGTTACGAGGACTTGGTCGCGCGATTGGAACCGGTGATAATGGAATTAGAACGACAGGGTAATGTTCTGGTCGTTAGCCACCAAGCGGTTTTGAGATGTCTACTTGCTTACTTCTTAGACAAAAGTGCGGGTAAATATTTTCATTTATAAATAATTTTGTTATTTGACATTGGTGTATAAATAATTCGAAAAAGATATTTTTATCAACGCAACACTGTTTAATCAGTCTAACAGAGATTAAAAAAGTATATTTTTGTGTAAAGTGATTGCTTAATCAATTTAACAAAGTGCATACAAATGTATAATTGAACAAGGGGAGTATCAAAGTTGAATAATTTTTGACCTTCGACGTATCGAAATGAACTAAGAATAAATATACGTTCATGTGTGCAAAGAGATATCGAAAACGTAGCGTAGTTACGCATACAGCGAAAATTTAAGACACCCTTTTCTTGTTTCTTGTTTTAATTTTATTGCGATTAATTGCTACAGTAAAGATAATATTTACCGTGTTTTTTGATTTAAAGATTCTAGTACTTTTTCATTTTAAGGATTTGTAATTCTAATCATATTTGTCCTCTGTTCCAGATGAATTACCATATTTAGAAGTGCCACTACATACTATTATTAAACTAACGCCTGTCGCGTACGGTTGCAAGGTAGGACACATTCGATTGCCAATTGACGCAGTGGACACGCATCGGCCGAAACCAAAGGTAGAAATGATCAGAATTGACTAGTAGTTATTGTCTTTCTCCCTCTTGTAAATATAATCCGTATGCTGAAAACAGAGACAGAAAGAAAGAAAGAAAGAAAGAAAGAAAGAAAGAGAATATCGAGACATTTACTCTTACTTTGCTTGCCGCTCTTAATGAAATACCTTCAATTCCTTAAGTTTTTTTTTTTGTTTTAATGTTCCCAGAATGCCTGACCATTAGTGGATTGGGACTACTTTCTCGTATATAATCTTGATTTAATGTATTCTAAATGTCATCCAACTCTAAGCTTTGAATATTAAACACTGCGTTTTGCATGCATTTTTCTATCAAAGTAATAATAATACGGATGATATGATGTGAGACGTCATACTATGCACGTACTTAATACACATGTGATGACATATTTGATAAATTTATGTGAATACATATATACATATATATAATGGTAGATATCAGTTTGTGAGAATTTTGATGTTATACTGGGATGTACATGTTTGTAATTATCGGCACACAGTAAAACACGCAGGAGAATTGCACTTATGACATTTGTTTAATAAATCATATATGGTATTGCGGTAAATCGAGTCTACTCGAAACGAACCATTCACCATCGTAGTGAATAAGTGCTGTGAAATTAGAGTAAAATTGTTTGTATTTATGTTGTGGTATAAATACTTATGCGTGTATACAACTTATATAAATGTATGTTTTGACGGTACGACATGACTATAAAAACTTGTCATTAAAATCTGCTTGATCATCTATGTGCGACCTACGTTTCTTTCACTTTTTTTTTTCTTTTTTTGTTCAGCGTGTAGGTGTCCTAGAAATGTAGTAGTTAGTTACTGCTTATGTTGGCCGCGGATCAACTGTCCAAACGATATAACGTTTCGTTGTGAAACTCTTTTCAGATCCCGGGATATCTAGAGGAACGATTCCGAGGGAAAGGAAAATTGCCTCGCACGTGATAACGACGACGTAGCGCACGACAGAGTTAATTCTATATCGTCGTTACGAGGTACCGAAGACGCATTCGTTTGGCAGCTGGCTGCCTCTCGCACGTCCGATGCAACGCGCGTCCATTTCCTATTTTAACAAAACCTAGACGAGATATATCCGAAATTATCCGACATTGTTTCTATGCGAATCACGTGATAAAAGGGTTCCTTTTGTTTGATCTTCTGATACGTGTGCTAACGTAGCAGCATCGTTCGTACACGTTCGAAAAGACAGACAGTCCTACGTAACAAAAACAATATAAGTGCATATGTAACATCACGTGCGTAAAATTTGTTCCAACAGAAAACTTTCTTACATCTAAAACTTTTGAATCTGCCGTTCGAGGATTGCACTTGAAAGTGACTCAGTTTTGCCTCCAAAATACTTCATTTCTTATATATTTCCAAGGTATTTCGATTTCCCGAATATTTTTAGTGTTTCTTTTTTTTTTTTTTTTTTTTTTTTTTTTTTTTTTTGTAAATCAATCGCTGATAGAGGAGAGAAAGAAATCAATTTCCGAGAATATCTGCGTATGTAGTGGTTATATAATGACTATTTGTTCATGTACTTTATAGAAACTGTTTTATTGATACTGAGATATGTTCCGCCAATTACCAACTTACCGAGTTTCATTACCGACTAAGAAATAGTTAGGCCGTTAATAATTTACTACGGAAAACTATCGTGCCGAGCGAGAATCATGTATTTCGGAAGTTCATCGCCTTATATAATAATCTAGTTACTGGTATGAGGGAATATAAATTCCAACACGCGTATTTTTGTTAAGAGGATGATCGTGCCGTGTGGAAAACCGAGAACTTTTCGAAGTGTAATTTATTTTAAGAGAAGTGTACATATTTTTTTAATGTCCTTCACGACGAGAACAAAAAAATACATTTATTTGAAAATTACAAATGCGCTCCGTCTTTTATCCTAAAAGGTTTGTTTCTAACAATTTTTAAAAAATTGCTGAAAAATATCTTTTTTACATAAAATATTTCTTTAACGCCACCATGCTTGGATGAGGGGACCTCAAAAGGCAAATGCTTAATTTTAACATCAAATAGATTACCATGTACCTAGTCATCAACTGTACCCATTGGACGGTTGAAGATTGGCGAACTTGCATATGTTGAGTGATGACTCGACACCAGATGGAGCAATTATCTCCATCATGGCTACCGGCCGGAAAGAAACTTGGAATTGGAGAGAGACAGCGGAATTTGAATCGCGTAAGACCCGCAGTGACGTAGGAATCAAGACACTTGGCGACGTCACAATGGCAACAACTAACGAATTTGGTCCTGATTCTGGTGGCAGAATTAAGGTCCGAATTTCCTTTAAATAGGGTGAAAATTTCAACTAGGACATTTTTGTGTTTTTAACCTATACACGTTGACCAGAGTAGCAGACAAATATAATAATAACAATTATTTGATTAATGTTTCTTGTAATGTTAGAAAACAATGAGCAATAGTCATTCAAATCTTGCTGGATGTTCTTGCAGGGAGTAACAATAGTGAAGCCAATTGTGTATGGCAATGTAGCTCGCTACTTTGGTAAAAAAAGAGAAGAAGATGGTCATACGCACCAATGGACAGTGTATGTTAAACCTTACCACAATGAGGATATGTCCACATACGTGAAGAAAGTTCACTTCAAGTTGCATGAGAGTTACAACAATCCGAATCGCATTATGACCAAACCGCCATATGAACTCACTGAAACTGGCTGGGGAGAATTTGAGATTGTAATTAAGATATATTTTCACGATCCTAATGAACGTCCTGTAAGCATAATCTTTATAATTCTAACAGTATTCATCATATATAACTTTGTTAAAGTTATTTATATTCGAAATAGGTAACTATATACCATATATTGAAACTATTTCAAACAACACCTGAGATACAACTGGGAAAGAAAAGTTTGGTATCTGAGTTTTATGAAGAAATAGTTTTCCAGGATCCAACGGCTTTGATGCAGCACCTACTGAATTCTAGTAGGCCTATAACTCTTGGTGTTTGGCGCCATAATACAGATTGTATGTATCATTAGTGATTTTACTTGTTATTTAAATGAATGATGTTTGTTACAATTATTCTCTTATTTTATTATGCAGTTGAAGCCAAAAAGGAATCTACAATGAAAGCAGTGATAGAAGCAAGAAACAAAATAAGACTGGAAGTCATAGATCTTAAGGAGAAATTGACATTAGCAAAGGAGACAATTGCTAAATTTAAAGAAGAGATTGCCAAGATCTCCAAAGCTGGTGGAAGCTTGTCTGTTGCATGATTTAAAGATTAAAAAATTTTTTTAAGTCACTATAGGAAGAGAGAAAGTACTGTTTTCTATGCTTAATTAAGGTGTACATAGTTTTAGTAAAGAAACAATTATAAAACAAATGTAAGCAATTATATGTAATTTTGTAATATTTGTAATTTTTGTAATATATTAGCGATTGTATATAAATTCCCATTAAGCACAATGATTCATTATCATCATATAAATTTTAATTTTTAATCTTTTTGATCTGTTACAAATAAAAAATATTTTGAACTCAAAACAATTTTTACTCGTTTTTCATAATTTGAAAAAAAAATTTAATTAAAATATTGAAAGATATGATAAAACGGAACCATGCTTTTAAAAATACAAATTAGTTGATTTTGATGTGGACATGGAATTATAATGAAACCGAACAATAATTTAGATCGAGAATCGAATAATGCTGTATAATGTATATTAAAAATATTGATTATATATCTCATTTCATCAAACGCAAGTTGCAAACATATAGCTTCAAAAATCCTCACCCAAAAATAGTACCACTAATTGTAAGCTGTACGAACTAGTCATTACAATCCCATTAAACAAACGTATCACAAACGATTTCTGGTTTTATAAAGTTCTAATAGCACGAGCGCATGCGCGAAAACTTTTGGACATTTTATGATCTGTTAGATTCTCCAAATCTTAGATTTATTATCATTACAATGATAAATCTTAGATTTATTATCGTCACAAATAACATGTGTTATTGCATGTCAACATTAACTGCAAATCTTTCGGTTACAATAGGATACTCTCCCTCTTCAAACCTTGACCTTGACGTCTTCTTTGAAAAAATAGTTATCTCATGCAATTAGAGTAAACTACTTCTACAGTTTTAGGAGAAAAAGAGTTCAGTCATGATAAGAACAGCTGCGGCAGCGTTATTTGCTGAAATCGATTAGAATTCGATTTGAATTAATTTCGTGCACGTTTATCCACACGGATAGGAGATGACCGCAGCGCCGAACGCAGGCACCACCAAACCGTGAGCTTTTATAATACACTTGATCATGCATTTCTAAGGGATCATATATAGTTTAAGTTCGAGCTGCCACTTCAATGCCATTTTCAATGCATGCGGTACATATGGTATATAGTTACGCAAGGATCTTTCCGTGTCTAAAACCGGCCGGTTGATTGATATTATTACCGAGTATCTCTATTTGCTTAGAGGTCAGATTTTCATGACTATTACAGATCTTTCCGTTTCGCACTCTCCAATGATCTGAAATTTGCAGTATTCGATCATGATTATCTTTGCCTTGTACCAAAACTATGAATTCGATCTACTGGTCAGTGATGACTTAGCTAAGCTATTCCGCTGATTTCATCACTTGTTTGTTTTCATTCAGTGTTTCGTTGTTTTTGCTTGGCTCAATTAATACGACGTAACATTTAATTGACACGAGTTTCAGCACTAATTGTTGTTATTTTGATGTTAATTCGTTACTTATTTTATCGAACTTAACCCAGAATGATCCTTCGGTTTTCTTTTATGATGCTAATGTTAGCCATCTTGATGCTACAATAGAAACATCCATATTAGAAATTAATTAAAAACTTGTTTAATATCACTGTAGTCTAGGTTAGAAAAGTATTTTACTAATAATTTAATGAGACCTGACGTGTGAATTATTAAAATAGCATTACTAATATCCATATATACATTTTCTTTATATGCATCTATTTCAACTATAATTGTTTGTTGAATTCGTTGTACTAGTCATTTCGCATAATATTGTAAATAATTTATATATGAAACTAAATATCACTATATTCTTACGATTATTTAATTAATCCTACTTTTAATGGTTACCTTGCAAAATAACTCCAAGAAGTTAACTTAAAGTTAAATTGCACTTGTAAGTACCATCGTGTATATTTCGCGCGAAATTTAAAACGGCAGAACTTCGTTCATCCGAATCTCGTTTACATGAACCGAAGTTACGAGGTTAATTATTGAGTCTCAGATGTACGAATTCATGATTGATCAATTTCGGTTATTCTCGTTTACTGTCTCTCATTATTCAAACAAATAAAAATAGGACATAAAGAAAGTTAGAAAGCCTCTATTACTCACTTTTCAGTTATCACCATCTCCCCAACGTTTGGACAAACAAAGTTTCACCGTATTAAGATTAAATTTGAAAAAAGTAGTAGTCTCAATTCGTTAGGGATCGTTTTATTTTTCAGTCAATTTACGGTATCAAATTCTACTTTTTTTTCTTTCTTTGGCCATTACATCTTTCACCTAAACTCTACGACTTTTAGAAAACATTGGAATAGCTATAACAATTGCGACAAATTGTCAGTCAGTCCTCGATGGTCCAATAAGCGTATATTTTCATTAACTCATTCACATATTAATCTTTGACTTTTACTAGTCCAGGTATTGAGTTCGCAATTGGCGCGTTAGCAGCTGTGGGGGCTGGATTCTTCACGAATCCGGTCGACGTGATAAAGGTACGGTTGCAGTTACAAGGGGAGCTAGAAGCGCGTAATACATACAGAAAAATTTATAAGAACACCCTGCACGCGGGTTATGTGATTGCGAAACACGAGGGCGTGTGTGCCTTGCAAGCTGGCATCGTACCGGCTCTGTATTTCCAAGTGGTGCTTAATGGAATACGATTAGGAGCCTACAATACAGCGAAGAAATACGACCTAATCACCAACGATAAAGGGAATACTGATGTTCTGAAGACCGCGTTATTTACTGGAACAGCTGGCTCTGTCGGTGCTGTTCTTAGTAGCCCGTTCTACATGGTAACTACATGGTCTACTATTTTATAAATTATTTCTATATAAAAGTAAGATCCTTAAATATCAACGACTTAATCACAAGTAACTCGCATTGCAATTGATATGTTAATTTATAGCGCTTCAATTCAAAATGAGCAATTTCATATCGCACCTGTTCTTTTCATTGTAACAGGTGAAAACGCAATTGCAGGCGCGTTCAGCACAATCTATAGCCGTTGGCTATCAACATAATTATACCGGCACCTGGTGCGCGTTCAAATCTCTATGGAAAGAAGGCGGCATAATCGCTTTGTATCGCGGCTGGTATGCTAACATACCACGCGTTTTTGTCGGCTCTGCGACGCAATTAACTACATTCGGTTTGGCTGCGGATTGGTTACGCTCGTTACAAGTGAGTAGTTTAAACAGAGCGGCAATATTAAATGAAGAATGTTTTATACTTTCTTCCTTTTTAAAGATGTTTACAGATCAACCGATACTTCTGACTTTTTTGGCTTCTGTGATCGGTGGAAGTTGCGTGGCTCTCACTATGCAACCGTTTGATGTCTTAGCAACGAGGTTGTACAACCAAAGTACGTATAATTTAATTAGAACACTGTGAAGATAATTTTTGTATGATCTGTCGTATCGATCGTTCTGTAATCGAACGCAGAGACGGACGTGAGCGGAAAAGGTGCACTGTACAACGGATTTTTGGACGCAATCATTAAAATACTACGAACAGAAGGTCTGAGTGGTCTGTACAAAGGAATTTTTCCGACATGGATGAGAATAGCACCGCACACGGTGCTTTGTTTAGTATTCTATGAAAAGTTAGATCAATTGTACACTGTACTTCAAAATTAACAATTGTAAAATACGTAGGAAGAATTTTATAACTTTTGAAATATTATATAAAATGTAATATATAGTACGAAAAAAATAAATAAATTTCTTACACGGGCAGTGAAACGTTTCATTCTTTAGTATAACAGCTATACATTTAGAAATGATAACTTGTTTAGTGAATACTTCATCAATGCCGATTTTATCAATTAAGCTGGATACGCCACGCGTATTTAAAAATTCAATAATTATCTTTTCACGTATCCGAAAGTGGTCCAATAATGTCGTTCAAGTATTTGAAAATATGCAATTACTTAAGTCTAATAAAAATGCGGTAAAATCGATATTGCATGGCTGCAATTGAAGACCACAATAACGAATAAAAGTACAACGAACTTCCTATCTAAATTGTACAAAAATAATCCTTATCAATTAAATATTTATATAAATCTTGTTGTGAAAAAATTTTAAACTTATCTATTCGTTAGGCGTGTTATTAAAAGATCCACAAAGTACTACTTTTTTAAATTTAAGCGTTACGGATGGAATTTGGTCTAGAGTTGAATCCTTGACTTATTAATGCTGCTACGTCCGTTGTGTTCCTTCCTCTCGTCTCAGGCAAGTATATCCTGCATATATTAATATTATATTATTAAAGAACATGTTATCAAATGATTATAAGTAACTATATCATAATTTAGTTTTTTCTATGTACCTCACAATTTGTCCTAATAATAAAAGAAATCCAGCAAATATTAGAAAAGTGTATGGTCCTATGACGCTTTCTACTATTGGAAATGTCATGCCCACTATAAAATTTCCACCCCAATTGCAGACACTACCAAGCGCCATAGCTATTGGTCTGGGACCAACGTCAAATAATTCAGATCCAATAAAGTACGGTATCGGTCCAAGGCCGATTCCATAAAATATCACATAAGCCAGAACGGCTATCGTGCATATTACAGGCATGTGCGATGATAAACGCTGTAAGGATACAAACAATTATTTCACAAACTTTGAATTTTCATATGTTTTCAAGTTTTCGTATTCGAGAGTAATTTTACTTACAATCAATAAGATGGAAGTACATAAAACGATCAAACATCCTAAGCACAAGTAAATACTGCTAAGTAAGACACCTCTTCTGTTTAAAGATGACATCACTGGTACTGAGACAAGTGCCATACCAATGTTAGCTGCGCCAGTTCCAAGAGTAGCGTATTGTGCTCCAGTGATGCCAAGTCCGGCATCGATAAATATGGAGTTGGAATAGTAAAACACAACGTTTATACCACTCATTTGTTGCCCGAATTGTATCATACAAACTAAAAACACAGGAAGCTTCAGACTTGGATCACTTAAAATCCGCTTGATTGTCCAAGGTTCAGCTGTCGTTTTTTTTTCTATTTCCTGCTGCAGACTAGAAATTTCTACTTCTAGCAACATTATGTCCATTTTACGTATTCTACTCAGTTCTGAAACATTAAGATAGATTTAAGTGCTACTGTGAATATACTAACTACTACAACACTAATATTTGCTAACCATCTAAAGCTTTCTGCTTCTGTTCCCTGATTATATATAGATATTTAGGACTCTCTGGTAGAATAATAATTGTAAGAACTAAGGCATAGATGCACAATGGAATAAATGCTCCTAGCATATAATGCCAGGAACTCTGAGTCCCTAAAACTGTATTGAGCCCTGCAATTTGCCCTAGAAACACTCCACATGTAATTCCCAGTTGACATATTACTCCAACTGCACCTCTTAGCCTAAGCGGCGCAATTTCTGACATATACATTGGTACTACACTTGTTGCAAAACCTCCAGACAGACCTGGAAAAGTGCAAGATTTTCATATGACAAATCATGGCCAAATTATTTAAAATTTTTGAAGTTAGTGTGCTTTCACACATACCAACAAAAAATCGACCTGCTAAAAGAATTTCAACTGAATTTAATTTGAGTATTAGAAAAAACATCCCAGCTCCTATAATGCCAAATATGTTTCCGACGCATAGTGCTCCTTTCCTTCCGTATCTGTCTGCTACCCAGCTTGAGAGAAACGAACCAGCAGCACCACTGATGAGAAAAATTGAGACAACACTAGACCAAACTATTTTCAAGCCACTTTCAGATACGTCTATGTCATATCGTTCCTTAATACTTTCATTGCAAAACGCTTCCACTAGCTGCAATTAATATAAATATGTATTTAAAGCGTTCTTTATAAATTTCTGTAAAGTCTAAATTGAGATACCAACATGGGCTGCGTTATTTAATACTCCTATGTTGTATCCTGCTGGTACAGCTGATCCCAAGCAGCAGGTAACACCTGCCAGAACTAATATAATGGTCCATCCTCCTGGTGCCTAGAAAAAATAAATGCCTCTTTGTTTTTAAAATGCAATTATAAAATAAAAAGTATCATGCACTCATAAATATTTAACTTGCAACACAAGGCTCATTCTTTAATTTAAAATAAAACTGAACAGTAGCAATTCCTGTCTCCAATCTATTAAACATTTAGGAAAATGCAAATTACAAAACAGTGTGATCATTTTAATGTTATTGGTGATCTCTATCAATTATTATGTTATGTCATTTTAATAACTCATTAAAATATAATAAAATAATGGAATTTAAATGAAGTTACAATGAAATATATAATATCAGAGCATATTAAACATGGCCAAAAATAAATTTATATAACATATAAAAATCTATGAAGATGAGTAACATTGAATTATTGTAGCATGTACCATACATTATGGTGGTGCAGTGCAGTAAATCATGTGATATAATTTACATGATCAATATTATGAGTAATACAATATAAGATACACTGGTAAGTTTGCATTTCTCTTAAAAAAGGCAAAATAAGAGAAAAAAAAGTATATACAAAACCAGAAAACCATACCACTGAAACAATTAAGCATCATAAGCAATAATGTATTGCATCTTGGTAGACCAATCAGTGGTATAATGGAAAAGCCTGGATGTAATGATGGACTAAAATTCAACAAAACCACACATCATTGGTAAACCTGGAAACTATTTACAACCAACCATGCATTATTAGAACTTTTTAAAATATAGGCATAGATTTAGTCTAAGCTTTTCAGTTATACAAAGTGTGCCTACATAAATGTATCTTTTATAAAAGATTTTTCAAGAATGCAATTAAAAATTAAATGCAATTCCAAATTAAGATGTTACTTTAGTTACCAATATTTCACATAATAACATTGTTATCGCTTGTGAATTATCTTATAATATCTTGAACCTCTTTTATCATGCTAGCTTTTATATAATAATGTTACAAAATTAATCATTAGAGAATGCTTATTTAAGAAACTTACGTATTTATGTCTGTTTTAAATTAAACATGATAAAAGGGAAAAAAAAGTAAATTCAACTTGAGATATATGATAACAGAAAGCAATATAAATCACTAGTAAATCTCTACTTTACTCCTTTGACTGATAATGAGAAGCAATGTAAAAATTGATTTCAATGTATGACGAGAACAAATATGTGTACTTGTGTACTTCTTGTCTACCTCCTATACATCTTCATATCATTCTTACTTATGTCACACAGAGGGGCTATATATACAAGAATATCATATGTGAAACTCAAGTATTCCAATCAAATGTTATAAATAGTGTTAAATGTTTATCATTATCTATGATTCATTATTCGTGAATTATTTTGTACACTTTGATATAACGATATAAGTGCATCATTGATACGTGAATCAGGAATTTCGTTTGAAATTCACCGACATGCACAAATGAAACGAAAATTATTAAGCTGGACATGCTTGGTAATTTAAATTTCATTGTGTACTCACTGATCTTTCGTCTCGATTATCCGAATTATTCTGACGATTAGATCGCTCGGCATCCACAAGTACTGCTGCACGACTGTCTGCAATTGCAATTAATTATCACACTCTCAAAACTCTCAACATATACGTTAAAAAAAAACAATTACGTATATACTTTCACCGCGAACGCGCTACATTCGTGAACAAAGGAGATACACGATCATTCTAGATATACCTAAATACGTAAACTAAACTCAAATACATTTTTGTACGAGGATTATTATCCTGCTAGAACGAAAAATTTTGCGAAGAGGAATATGTAACGAAAATAGGACAATCGTCGAAAGGTTTCGAAAAAGTATTACCTAACGCCATGCTTTGTACAACACGTGTCACTGACACGATGTCAGAACGGTAAATAACACTAGAAACGGATCGCAACTACTGGCAACGCGAATATTGGCTTCGACTTCGACTTTATATATACACAGCATGTGCCATTGCATATAAAAAGAAGTCTTTTTTTTTTCTTTTATTTGAGCAACTACTGGCGACAACCTGTATGTATATATTTCCCGGTGTCAAAGCAACTTTATTTTCGTAAAGGAAAGTTCAGAAAGTATACGTCGGGACGAAACGTGCACAGTCCCAGGTGTGTACGTGCTCAACTGAATCGGCTTTTCCTTGGAAAGTGTTTGTTGCGTAGTTGGTAAATACGTAACCCACGATCCTACGAACGTGAATTGAATCTGCATTAATCTGAAATAATTATTTTGCACGTATACAACGAAATTATTTGTATACTTTACAAAAGCCTTTTATGAATGCGTGCTGTAAGAAGCATTAAAAAATTTGATTACCGACGAACATTTTTGTTATGTATTATTACACGAATATATATTATACGTGTATATGTATCATTATTATGTACATTATTATTATGTATTCTATGATAATCATGATTTTTCCAAAAAAAGTCTTCGTGAATTATTAACTTCTGTAAATAATACCTAATTAACCCATATAATGTAACTTGTACGTGAACATATAGTCGATTCTTCTAAAGAACGATCCTTGTTTACATCAAATCTGAATAGTACAAATTTGCAATGCGTTTTCCATTTGAAACAAAAAAAAAAAAGGATGTCCTTCCGAGGAGGAAGAAATTCACTTTCCGGATGAAGATATCACTTATCTAATATTGCAGAGACGGAGTTATGAATGTAAATATTCAATTTGATGTTAGTCAACAATTTTCAAACGCATATGTGTACGTATGTATGTGCATTATCTTGCGTAAAAAGTTTCAATGCCAACCGAGTGTATCAAATGCAAAAATATAAGTAAATGTAACTGCAACGCAGTTGAGCACAAAAAAATAAAAAAAAAGAATAAAATAAAAAAGAAAAAAAGAAATATTTTTCTTCTTTTTGTTTACTTCGTTCTAATGCATCTATTGAAAATTTCAAGACGATAACTAATGCATAGCTCTTTAGATAAGCGCACTTTCGCTGTTGAATTATGTTAATTGTCATTAGCAAAGCATGGATTGGATGTCTATGCGTTTAAAGTTGCGTACACGCAAAGTATAGAAACACGCATTGTATGGAAAACGTAATGTTCAGTTATAACGAAGTGAACTTTTGCCTGGGTTCCGTTTCTGTTAATTAGTTTTGTAAAAAATACGAACACTGTGTAAACATCCGCAGTTCAGTCGACCATGCAGCTATTTGAACGTCAATTAATTCGAAATATTCATATAATCAGACAATGGAACTTCAAAACAAGAATGACAAAAATAAGTGTTTATCGCTGGTGGTGTCCAAGTGATCTAAAATCAATCATTACACAACTATTTATCCCTATGGTGTCCAAGTGTTCTAAAATCAATCAACGTTTCGTGTTTTCGATTCGAGTGATTAAATAATTTTTACGTATGTACCTTTGTAGTCGAGCATGTCCCCAACTTCTGAATCGCAACGCATGTACGATGATCTGCGAAAAGAGAGATCATTTTTAAAACAATGTCGTTATTTATTATACTTAAGTATAGTCGATGATTGACCGTTCAAACATTGTCGCTGTGCTTGTCACCTCTCTACACCACTTTTCGTTCATCAGTTTAAATTCACCTAGTCACAATTGTTTCAATCCGTTTTCGTTCCGTTGATAAATCGTTCGATCATCGAAATTTATGAATCGATTTCGCTGATTGAGTATCTTCGGCAATTCAAATAAATTTTCCGATCGTCAGCAGTTATTATCGAAGCAGTTACGTTGTGGCGAAGCTTTTTTTCCAATTTCTCGTCCGAGACAAAACACAACGGTAGCTGTCAGTTCATAAACGTCTTTGTCTCTCTCTTTCACCAACTGAAGTGATACAGCAACTGAATACTTAACGCTTGCGCGGAGAGGTGCAAAGTTTACTGTTACGCTGTTCTCTCGGTAATATTAAAATTTTGCTTTTGCACGTTTTTATTGAAATAAAAAAATCATTACCGACCAAAGTGCAACATCTCAAAGAAACTGAGTCTATTTTTGTAGAAGAATATATTAAAGAAACTAAAATGGAAGACACGCGTGAAAAAAGTAAGTTGTACGAAAGCTATCCAAAAGTGTTTCGTAAAGAAATTGTAAAGAAATCTACAAGAGTATATCGTTGCAAATTTATAATATATAAAATTTCGAATACGTGGACTGTCCATTTCGATCATTGGTAACAATTCAGGTTGACAGAGAATTTCACGTGAAGACACATGAGTGGAAGTAACAATTCAAATACAACTTACTGATAAGTTCCAATGCACGCAATACGACGACTCGGTCACGCTGCTCGCGGGTAACTAATTAATAAATATCGTGAATGACTTCCGAAGTCAGAGTCCCTACCATTTTTCTATCTCTCCCTACCAAGCACGATTCTTACTTACTCGTGTCAATTAATTCCAGCCTTGGATAATCGACTCTGTAGTAAAAACTTCGCTTCGGGCGGCGCTGTCGCTTGAAATTTTTTAAATTTGCAGTCTTGTTTGAAAATTTCGCGTTAATTGGCGAGCCTTAATGACTATTACGGCGTTGATATAATACAGTACTTTATACTACGAGAGAAGAATGGAAAAAGAATTTGACGCAATACTGTCAACTGGCCAGAATAATTCGCTCCGACAAGCATCATTATCCCCACTACTTCTTGCAACAATATTCGTGGAGATAGAGTTTCGGTAATACAATATCTTTCTTTCATTTTGAGACAGTCACTTCCTTCTATATAAATTATCAAATCTAGAACCTCGTTATCTCGGTTTGTGGATGTGGGACAGTACTGTTTCATTCTATTTTTTTTTTTTTTTTCATTCATTCATTTCACGTCGAGATAGTAAATCATTTCTTGTAAAACTGATTCGTGGCCAGTTAACGAGGCAATATGTGAAACGAATTTTCCCGCAAGATCTCGTAAAACTCTTCACCAGGGTCAAATTCGTTTATTTGCTCATCCGCGACGAACGGCTTATTCGCATAATTCACGCTGATCTCATTAACATATTGTATTTATAGAATCGTGTACTGATAACACACAGGGATTTTATGGAAATTGCTTGTATTTATTACATAATACATAGTGCACGCGCGCACGGAGCAAGTTCGATGAAAATTGTCTTCCCGAGAGACGTGTTGACGATCCGCGCGCGAAAAGAAATTCCAACGCACGTCACCCGGAAGAATTTTTTCCCAAACAGTTTTTCATAACAGTTTGCCTTTGTTTTTGCACACGCGATTATTTATCCGTCGTCCTCTGGATTTTTACTCGCGCATCGAACACAAAGTCGAACCGTTAAACGCGGTTTACGTAACCGATCTTTGTACCGCTGATGAATCGGGTTATTGTACGATATCTCCCGATCCATCGTATGTAATGCCCTGTTACATCGATAATGCTTCGTAAAAAAAAAATTTTTGTTTCAGCTGGAATACTTTCATCCACAGATGAATTTAATAACGCGAGGCGATTGAAACGCGATTGAGCCGCCAAGGTTCTCCTCCTGTTCCTTTTCTGATCAGTAGCACATTCTTCCTGAGGCACGTTACGTCTGGTAAATGTTTCCCAGTATGTCTATTATTTGCTGGCCGATACGGGGCGATCCAAGATTCATCGACATCCGTGAAAGTGGAACGCAACGTCAGTGAATTGTCATCCGTGAATCATTCCCGTGTTTGTCCAAGGTACGCGCGTCTCAAGTACAGTCCATCCGCAGATTTCGTTCTCCTTTCAGCCCTTGGCTGAGCGCCGTCGTCAGAGGATATCTTCCACAGCCGCACAGATTTCTGAAGTCGTCTAGATCCAAGGACCACAACGCAGCGCCGCCAAGATTCAGATCTCTTATGAATTCCGCCTGGAAGAAAACAAACGGACGTATGAAACGTATCCTAGGTAAGATAAACGTATGTACAACGTTTCTGAGCATTGTACTGTTGCATCAATGATATTCACCTTTTGCATTACGCTGGATACATCCTCGTAGCTGACCCATTGATCACCACTTGTGGCGTACGGCCCGGTCAGGTTCTTTGGATCCTTGATCGCGGACCAGCCTCTGTTTCTCACGTTGTCGCATATCTACGAGGGTGAAAATATTTACAAATGAAGAAGAATGTTTACAAGGGAAGAATGCAAGAATAGTTTGGCTTGAACTCTAGACATAAAAACGAATTAGATAATATTGCTGTCGACGTAAAATAGGAAAGTTTCCCCGCAGATAAAATTTCGTGTCGCTTAACTGTTTGTCATACAAATACAGAACTGAAACCGATAAACTTACGTACCTCGTAGTATGCAAGCATGCCTGTTGACTTGGTGAAGTCTCCCGGACGTCCCGGTCCGGAAACTTTCGCGTTCAGACCCGGTGTTATCTCTCTCCGCGATTTTTCCGACAACGTGAAGCTCTGCCCGTACGCCGGTACGCCCATTATCAGTTTGTTCGACGGCACGCCTTTCTCCAGCCAATGGATCAACGAGAAGTTCGCGTTCATGTGCTCGATCTGCTCGTCCGAGCCGCGATAAAGCGGCGCTACGTGACCTGTCCTGCCTTCCCAATAACCGTGATAGTCGTAACTCATAACGTTGATCCAATCGAGGTGTTTGATTAACGCTGGAACATCGTAAGCTACGTCGACGACCTCTTTACTGGCCGAAACACCGGCGGAGATGAGCAATCCTTTGGGCTTGAATGCCGCGCTCAGCTCTTTCAGCAGCGCTGCGAAAGCGTCTCTGTCACTTGTTGACCCACGATTGCAGTCAACCTGTAACAAACGTCATAAACAATGTGTTTAATTATATTGTGTGCAATTGATTAATTTATGTAATTAATTTGTGTATATGCAATATATTAATGTATATATTAATACAATTTATAATGTATGTATTAATGTATTAATGTATTAATGCTATATATTAATAATATATATATTATATATGTATTAGTGTATATATTCATATATATAATGTATTAATTTATACAATATTTAAATAATATACAAAAACTGAAAGCAACTTTAATTTTCGAAAGAAAAATTTATGTAATTATAATTAAATTATTATATTATATTATTAATTATAATTTATATAATATAATATTAATATATAATTTATATAATTTGTAATTTTCGAAGAATTTTATCATCTATGGAATAGTGACTCACGAATGATTCACGGTAACAGCGTAGCTGAGATATTTCATTTATCTTTAAATTCTTGCGTCACATCTTTAAATATCTTTAAATTGATTTCATTTCCTTGCGTGAACTCGAAATTTCTAACGCTAATGATTTTTGCGTTACCTGCGAGCACACCGGATATTCCCAGAGGAAATCAAGGCCGTCGAATCCGTAATTTTGCACGTAAAGAGAAGCATGACGAGCGAATCTTCGCCGTTCCACGGAACTGTGCGCCAATTCGCTGTACTTGTTATCCTTAGACTCGTCCCAGCCACCCAAACCGAGCAGAACCTTCAGTTCAGTTCTGCTTTTGATGTCTACTATTTTATTAACGAGATCCTTCCGTCTGATGCCGGGTGGGCTTTGTATGGTCAGACGTTCCGGATCCAACTTGGCAAGACCAAAAACTACATGGGTGCACAGATCTACGTCAATGTCTTCCGGTAGAAACTGTCCAATCCCTGGCCGCTTTTGCGCCCATTTCATCACGTAACAAATCATTTTCTTCTTGCTCGGTTCCTGGTCGGTGATCAATGGCAGTAGTTCGTTCGACTGCAAATTAAGAGGCGATTTAAGAATTTGTAAGAAGGAAGATTTTCTTTTTTTTTTTTTTTTTCTTTTTGAGAAAAGGAAACGTCGTTGGTTCGTTGAAGCTACTCACTTGTCGCAGAGAATCTTCGCACTTGGTGTTTTCCGGCCAATCGCAACGATTCTCGTTCCAATAAAGACCAGGAGGGCAAGAGTGTTCGGTGAGCTTGCCAAAATTGCACAAGAAGTACTTGGAGCAGTCTTTCTTATGAGGAACGAATATGCGATTGCCGCAGTCGTCCGACGAACCGGTCGCTGGCGGCTCGGCTTCTATTTCGATGGTATCGTCGATGTCAAAATCTGGATCACCGGTTGTAGACGCCGGTGGTAAGTACGTTGGCCTAGAGGATGTAGTCGGTTCCCAGCTTGGTCGTTCGCTAGTTGTAGACTCCACAGTAGATTCTCCAACGTCGATCGTTATAAATTCTGCATTTAACACATTACAATAAACCCTCCTATAATACGGTTTCTATATATAATGCAACTTAATTAACTTAACCAGTCTCCTTTCTCCTGTTTTTTTTTTTTTTTTTTTTTTTTTCATGCACGTATATCACAATTTCTCAATTTTAGTAGTCAGGCAATTCCCCTGTAAAACCAACGCAAAGGTTGACTGTGAACAGATCTTCCAGGATACTTGCCATTCGTTACTGGACACAACGGGCCTTTGGGATAGTTTCTTAGAACTCTGTTCATGGTTCTCAGAAGCGGGCTAGGCTCGCAGCCGCATCTGTTTTTGAAATCGTCCAGGTCGAGGGCCCACACCATGCCGCCGCCCAAGCCAAGGTCCCTTATTAATTCTGCCTTCAGTTTAATCTGTCTGGCATCATCGAAGCTGACCCACTGATCGCCCTTGTACGCGTATGGACCGATACGTCGTTCTTTATCTTGGACCACAGTCCAACCCTTCTTCAATGTCCTCTCGCATATCTGTGATCGTTCAGAGACGACGACATTACATTTATTATAAATGTTTATGAAAAAAAACGAAACAGTAGGAAATCAAGTAGCAAGTGGAATATTTGCCTCGTAGTAAGACAGGAAACCTCTGGCTCTTGTTGCTTCGCCGGCCTCACCGCCACCGTAAGTTGGCGCGTTTAATCCTCTCTGACTTCTCTCCGCCAAAGAGAAGGATTGACCGTACAGAGGTGCCCCCATTACAAGCTTCTCTGCCGGAGCGCCTTTCTCCATCCAATAGTGAATCGTGAAGTTCTGCACATGTTCAGAATTTTTTCTTTTTTTTTTTTTTTTTTTTTATAAAAGAAAGACATAGAAAGAGATTCGTTTTCTGGAAAATCGAGAAAGCTCAGAATTCAGGTATAAATGGATTTATATTATATTAATTTATAATATATAATTAGTATAATATAACATAATTTATACTAATATATATTATTACTAATATATATATATATATATATTAGTAATAATATAGTAATATATATATTAATATATATTATATTATTATAGTAATATATATATTATAATATGCTATATAAAAATATAATAAACTATATAAAAATAATTATAATATAATATATTATTATATTGCAATACAATTTATCCTGTATTATATATTAGTATAATGGATTTATGTTTATCAGCAAAGCACTTACCACGTTAAAGGTCGGCTCCCAGTCATTAGGTAATGAATAGAGGGGCGCTACGTGGCCGGTCTTTTTGTCCCATTGACCGTGATAATCATACGTCATTACAGATATCCAGTCCAGATATTCTGCCAAAATTGGTACGTCGTAGCCGGCGTCAACGACTCGTTTGCTCGGGGAAACCGCGGCGGATAACAGGAAGCCCCTCGGTCTGAACCGTTCGCTCAATTCCTTCACCAAACTGGCGAAGCCCTCTTTGTCCGAAACTGGACCTTTCTTACAATCGACCTAAAATTTAGTGGCAAGATTTTGTTACGCACCGAAGACTCAAGATTGAAGATTATTCGAAGGGAATGAATGCGAGTTCATTTTACCTGCCAGCATACCGGATACTCCCAGTCTAAATCCAAGCCTTCAAACCCGTACTTCTCGATGAATTGGATCACGTTCTCGATGAATCTTAGTCGAGCCGACGGCGAGTTCACCAAACGACTATATTTATCACCCGCTGAGTCGTTCCACCCTCCGATGGCCATTAACACCTTTATGCCCTTTGACTTTAGAGCAGCGACCCTTTCGTAGAACTCTAGGAATGAAACGTATAAAGATACACGAAAGAAAAGAGAGAGGAACCGTGCGAAACGCATCTCGATATTTACTGTTGTCTATATCGGCCCACGAGTCGTGCGATTTGATCGTTAGCTGCGATCCATCAAGCACTGCGAAACCATAGAGAACGTGGGTACATAAATCAGTGTCTATGTCTTCTGGTAAGAACTTCCCTCCTTCTTGACGGTACCAGGCCCAATTTGTAAAGTAGCAGATCATTTTGAATCTACTGTCAGGTTTGGTCTGGGATTGGTCTGTCGATGTTGATGATGCTGAAGGTGTTTGAACAGTGGTGGGTGTTACAGTCGGTGCCATTGGTCCTTGATCCAAATCGTCTATCGTAACTGGTGGTTTCTCACCTACGAACGAAACCGAAAATATTCAGTAAAAAAAAAAAAAAAAAAGAAGAGAAGAGATGTAAACTATAGACAAAGATTAATTACACTCTTCATCTTTGCTTGGAGGATCAGCTAGTACTTTCTGAAGAGTGTGCATCAGTGGATGTGGCCCTTCGCTGCATCGTCCCCGGAAATCGTCGAGATCCAACGCCCACACCATTCCACCGCCGAGGCCCATGTCCCTAACATATTCGGCCTTACGTCGGATCATGTCTACGTCGTCGAAGCTCACCCACTGGGTACCTTTGTACGCGTAAGGGCCCATTCTGTGCTCCGGATCTTGAACGACGTTCCATCCGTGGTTCCGAATTCTGTCGCAGATCTCGTAATAGGATAAGAATCCGGCAGCTCGAGTAAACTCTCCTGCTTGTCCAGCACTGGCTGGCACGTTTAACCCTGTACCAGCGCTGCGATCGTTTATGGAAAACGACTGTCCGTACAGTGGCATTCCTGTGATTGGAACAAACGAAATACTTGTTACAATGTTTAGTAAAGTATGTCACATACATATAATAAAATATATCAATATATCTATATAATATACACATTTCATTCACACAGCTTTCACATAATATAAAAAAAAAAAATAAAAATACAACATTCCATTTAAAAAATTAAACGTCATCTTCAGTTCTCAAATATCATTTCAACAAAATATAATTAGACAAAATTTCTATGCAACAGTACAACTTCCTTTTTCATTTTTCCATAAACATCTGCCGTTTAAAAAGAAAATCCACAGTAAATCCATGAACATCCTGCGCACAATATATGTATATTCATAGAATTTGTACAAACGTTTATATTTGTAAAGAAAGAAACAGATACCCATAACGATTTTTCTGCGAGGTGCTCCCTTGGCGATCCAGTAATTGATAGAATAGTTCGCGTTGAAGTAATAATAATCGTCGTCTGGATGGTAGTAGAGCGGCGCTACGTGACCAGTCTTCTTGTCCCACTGGCCATGGAAATCGTAAGTCATGACTGCAATCCAGTCCAAATATTTGGCGAGCGCTGGAACGTCGTAGCCTTTGTCGATTACTTGCTTGCTTGGCGAGACAGCCGAACTGAGCAACAATCCCCTAGGTCTCAATTCGTCGCTCAACTCTTTCAACAGATCTGCAAAGCCTTGTTTATCCGACGATGGACCTTTGTTGCAGTCAACCTAGGGCAAGTGTAATGTTCATTAATTTTTATGTTCATTTCGTAAAATATTATTCATGTCACGCTTGTACTTAAACATTTATAGACACAAATATTATTATTGATATACAATTATTAATAAACCACTATCATTGTTGTCGATGTGTATTACACATATAATACACACACGTACTTGCCAGCAAACCGGGTACTCCCAATCCAAATCAAGCCCGTCGAAATCGTATTTTTCCAGGAATTGAATTGCCTGTTGGATGAACCTCTTCCTGGCAGCAGGATTATTCACTAGACGGCTGTACTTATCTCCAGCTGAATCGTTCCAGCCTCCCAGAGCAAGGGACACTTTCAGTCCACGTTTCTTGTACGCGACTACGCGCTCGTAGAAATCTGTTCGCCGTGGATTTACATTTGAATTAGATCCCCGGCGGATGTCAATATCCTTTTAATAAACGATCGTTCTTACGATTGTCGTAATCAGCCCAGGAATCGTGAGCCTTGATGATCAGATCCGAGTAATCCAAAACAGCAAATCCATAGACAATGTGGGTGCAGAGGGTGTGATCGATATTTTCAGGAAGATAACGACCGACGCCCCTTCGGTACCAGGCCCAATTCGTGAAGTAGCAGACAATCTGACGGGAAAGAAATAATTATCATCGATCAAAGTATTAAAAATTAGCATTGGAACTTATTAGTGAGTATCATGGTGAATGTGCAAGTGCAAATATATATAAAATATCCAATTATCATCAATTAAAATATTAAAAGTTAACATTGGTACGAGTGAGAGTAACTTATTAACAGATATCTAAGTGTTCAAGTGCAAAAATATATGAAGTATCGACCAAAGTTGCTTAATACACATAATGTTATGATATTAAATTATAATATTAGATCTTATTCTTTTAGAGATGCGTAAAAATATCAATGTGCATGAAACGGACGCAGTTTGAAAGTAATTCTAGTGATTTTGTAATAACTGACTTTGTAATAACCAGACAACGGAGAAGGTTGATCAGGATCTATCATGGCTGGCGACGTGGTGGTGGTAGCTTGAGTGGTGCTCGCTTCCCATGCCTTTTCGGTGCTCGTTGGATGATCAGCTGGCTTGTTGCCAGGTATGCTTGAATCCTGATTGTCCGTTGATACAGAATTATCCTGACAGTTGGCCCTAGCTGGCCAATCGCATATTCGCGTTCTTTCGTTGAAGTGTAGTCCCGGTGCGCAGTGGAACACCTCGTAACGGCCCCATAAACACGCCTGGAAACTTTCACAATCCCCTGGAACGCTGGTGTAGCTGTCAGGCGTGCATGGCTAAAAAAGAAGAGCAAATAAAATTAACTATGGTTTTCAATTCTAAAACTGTGACTTACAATTGACTAATACTTAACGATATAATTTTACATCTCTGCAATTAGATACAATTTTATATCTTTATAATTGATTGACGCTTGAGGATATATCTTACAACTGATTGATGTTTGAAGATGTGAACTTTCAATTTTAAAAATATGACTTACAATTGATTGACACTTAAAGATATAACTTTATATCTTTACAATTAGATATAATTTTATATCTTTACAATTGACTTAAGATACTTAAAGATATCACTTTCAATTTTAAAGATATGACTTACAATTGATTGATACTTAAAGACATAGGTTGACAATTGATTTGCTTACAGTCAACTTAGCGATCAACGACGCTGTTTTCTTCGGTTTCTCGATGCAAGGATTTTTGAAGGCCCAGTCGCACATGCCCTTCTCCCTGTTCCAGTTCAATCCTGGTCCACATTGCCGAGAAATCAAATTCCCGTTCACGCAGATGTGGAAACTAGTGCAGGAATCCGGGTAATACTCGCCGTGTACGCAATGTTTCGGTGGCATTCCATTGGAGCCTCCCACGACGATCGGTTTTTGGGTAGTAGGTTTCGAAGAAGACATCAGCAACGTGGTGGTTGGCCTCCTCGTAGTGGTGGTTCTCACGGTGGTCCATGATGGTTTCTGAGTAACAGAACCTATTTCCAAATAAAAGAACAAGACGTTACAATTTGTCACGAAGCACTTTTACAATTAATTAATAATTTAATAATTTCTAACTAATCATTTCTTCGTTCGACGCTTGTTTACGTACCGCTTGTGTCAAACGGTCGGGAAATTTTGTACACCTGCATCAAGGTGAAATCTATCAAAATCAGAAGGACAATTATACGAATAACGTGGATCATCCTTTTGAGAAGAAAGACACTGCAGAAAAGACTGGCGACGCGATTCGAATGAAATTACTTAAAGCGAAGAGGCGGCGGTTACAAAACTGAAATAATATGCGCAGGATGCGAAGATGTTCACTGTGTCGTTGCGCGGGGATAAACAGGTTTCCATTATTGCCAATGAACCGGCGCGTCTGTTGACAACGCAACCTCTCATGAATTGTATAATTATCATACAATATCGATAACACGGAGCGAATTAAATCTTCAATATTATAGCTAAAGCTTCTCTGACATAACACAAATTTTTCAAGGAAAACGTTCAATTGTAAAAACCGGTCGACAAGAACAGTTTATTTGATTGACATTTGTGATGAATGCATTCATCATTCGAATAGGATAGAAGGATTTATACTTTGTATTATATTAAGGATGTCGTCGTGCCTAGAAGATCCATCCTGATTCTTTTCGTTTCGTCGATTGAAAAAGTTTTGTCATTCGACGATAAGAACAGAAAAGTTCACCTGTCTCTGTTTGACATTTCGCGGCAGCTGGCCAGTCGCAAATGCCTCGCCTCGCGTCCCAGTGCAATCCTGGCGCGCATTGTTCGCGCTGAAATTCGCCAAGCACGCATCTAAAGTAGTTGCTACAGCTTTCAGGGTCTGGCGAGTATTCTCCTATCGTGCATGGCTGTTCCGGTTTCGAGGACTCGGCGTCTTGCGCGGCTGTTGTTAGCTCCTCTGGTGCTCTACAATTTGTTTACACGACCATACAAAACACACATTTATTCATCGTATACTTTATCATGTATCTTACTTGGTCGAACTCCACGTCGAGGAGACAGTGTTGGTCGATTGAGTCCACGAGAGCGTGGTGCTGCTCTTGGTTGTTGACTCTGGCTGTTTGCTTGGCTTCCAGGTCCAAGTAGGCCAAGTAGTTGTTGTGTGATGATGATGTGTGCTCGGCTTCTCAGACCACGTTGGCCAAGTGGTTGGTTTTGTCATTGGTGTCGTCGGTCGAGGAGTGTCTCCGACGGCGTCGCTGTGAGTGGTCAGCGTTGGAGGTTGTGGTGTAACTGGTTCCGCTGGCCGTTGACATCCTTCAGAAGCTTTGCTCTTTAAACGACCTACGATTCAACCATATTTCAACTTGAGATTTCACACACTTGAGACTTGCACTTTGAATTAAAAAGGATTCGTCAATGGACCAATTCACCTACCCAGTGCACGATTGATGCTCTTCAATAACGGGAATGATTCTTCACAGCAGCGATTCAAGAAATCGTCCAGATCCACCGTCCACAGCGTTGCGCCCCCGTAGCCGCTTTTTAAAATGTATTCTCCCTTGACGAAAACACTCTCTTGATCGTCGTAGCCTACCCACTGATACCTTCGATAAGCACTTGGCCCTAAAATGAAGCATGCAAGATGACTCCACGAAAAGCAATTGTCTCTTTTCTTTTTAACATTTTTTACCTAATCCCCTCTTCCAGCCTTTATTTTTGATTCTGTCGCAGATCTCGTAATAGGCTAGCATCCCAGGCTGTTTGGTGAACTCTCCAGGAGTTCCAGGTCCTGTGGCAGGATCCCCAAGACTCGTCAGATTCTCACTAGACAATCGATAAGCCTGTCCGTACAGAGGTATGCCTACCAAGAGTTTCGATTTGTCCGCACCAAGCTTTACCAAGTACTCCATCGTGGAGTTCTAAAAAAAAAAAAACAAATCACTGTTAATGTAAACTCTCGTTTCACAGCGTGTGCTACAATAATTTATCATAGAGAACTCACGACGTTGTAATACGGATTAGTATCTCCAATGTTCCCGAACAGGGGCGACAAATGCCCCGTTTTCGACTCCCAAGCACCATGATAATCATACGTCATAACCGACACGAAATCGACCATTCTCGAGAGCTCGCGGATCTCGTAGGCTCTGTCGATCACTTCCTTGTAACCTGAAAACGCCACGGCCAACGTGAGCCTCGGCTCCTCCTGCTCGAACCCTTTTCTCAGCTCCTCGATCAACTTGGTGAAGTTCGGCTTGTCAGAGTCGGGACCCTTTCTGCAGTTGCTTTGCCAGCATTTCGGGTAGTTCCACTCGAAGGACAGGCCGTTGAAGTTGTGCTTCTTCAAGAAGCTGATCGTGGCCGCGACGAACTTTCGACGAGCGACGCTGCTGCTTGCCAGACGGGAGTACTTGTCACCGGTGCTGTCTGTCCACCCTCCGACGGCCAACAATACTCTTGATCCCTTCACGTTTGTCACTCGTTCGTACAAATCTGAAAATATTTAACAATGAAGCTTTGTCTTGGCTGCTTTCAGTGAATATACACTATGTACTTCTCAATATTTACTATTTATAGTATGTATACTCTATGATATTTATATTATATTATATCTATATCATATCTATATTATATTATATTATATATGATATCTATGATATCTATGATATTGATATAAATGATATCTGTGATATCTATGATATTGATATAAATGATATTTATGATATCTATGATATTGATATAAATGATATCTATATTATATCTATATAATATTATATTATATATGATATCTATAATATCTATGATATTGATATAAATGATATCTATATTATATTATATATGATATCTATAATATCTATGATATTGATATAAATGATATCTATATTATATTATATATGATATCTATGACATTTATATTATATCTATATTATATTATATATGATATCTATGATATCTATATTATATAATTACTGTGCTCTATGTCGATCCAAGGATCTAACGGTTGAACGAGTAACGTGTCCGGATTCAATCCAGCGAATGCGTAGATCACGTCGGTGCAGAGGCGCGAGTCGAGTCGTTCCGGGGCGAACAGTCCATCACCCTTGCGGTAAAGCGACCACGAGGTCACGTAACAAACTACGCGAGGCCCCTCCACCGAGGAGATCTCCAAACTTTGTGACTCCTGCGTTTCCCTCATCTCCTCTGTCTGATAACGATTCTCTTGAATCCTATCCAGCTGCCCTTGTCTACAAGCGTGCTGGTCCGTTTTTGTGCAACGGCCGCTGGCCAAGTCGAAGGATCTTCCTGGCCCGCACTCACCTCGATACTGCACTCCTGTTCCCCGCAGAAAGATACGATTTACTCTATATAATCATGTTTCATGTGCCATGCAGAAAGTGAACAAATATCACGAGATGAGTCGATTTACCATTGTGACAAGAATAAAATCCGGAGCAATCATCCGGATCACTGGAGAGACCATCGGCGGAACATTCTCTCAGTTCTGTCTCATCGAACAAGCCTATCGACTCGGTGGCAGCGTTCAACATGGGCCACGAATTGCCGCAAACACCCTGGAAGTGCACATAATAAATAATAATAAAGTAATTAACAAATAGTAAGTAATAAATAAGTAAATAATAAAGTAAGTAACAATGAAATAAAAGTAATAAATAAATAATGATAAAATAATTAATAATAATATTTCAACTCTGCGATAAAATGAAGTAATATTAACTTGGAAGTCGTCCAAATCGAGCGACCACAAAGAAACTCCGCCAAGCCTGATCGATCGAACGTAGGCCACTTTGATTTTCACCGACAACGGATCCTCGTAGCCGACCCATTGGTCGCCGCGTTTTATGTACGGTCCTTCCTCGTCTCTCCCGGATGTCCACAGTCCGTCTTCCAGTTTCTCACACACCTGAAACAAAGACAACGAAGAAATATAAATGAGGCGGGCCAAAAATCACTTTACCACTAAAACAAATCCGTAATTTTTTAATTGTATGTTCTCTTTTGAAACAATTGAAAGAAATAACTTTTGAAACATAATTAATAATTTTAAAAAAAGGCGTGTTTGTGACTTGAATTTGATTTAAAATTAATAAAATTAATTTTTATATTTGATGTATAGTTGATGTTTTATTAAAAAAAAAGAAATAGGTGGGAAGAAACGTTTGATTCACTCTGGTAGGTATAAATTTCAGGTAGAGCATTAAAACCATGGATAGAATTCTCATTAGAGAAATTGTATTAAAGTGTATTAAAGTGAAAAAGAAAGCACAGAACTTTTCAATCAACGATACTAAACTGAGAAAAATAGAAAATAGAGATAGAAAAATTGTGAAATACACAAGCTTTTATTCTAATGCATTCTCCAAAAAAAAAAAAAAAAAAAATCAATTTAAATCTCCAAAACCACACTATAATGTGTCACATCTATAACATGTCCATGAAAAATTATGAACTAGTCATTTTGGCCATCTCTTGGTAGTTCCAGCGCGCCGCAATTACAAATGCTATGAACTGCTGACAACACAACTATGTACAGACAATTGTGTACCTCGTAATACGCCATTGTCCCGCTGTTCTGCTCGTCAGTCGCCGGCCCAACGACAGGCGCACCAGCGTCCGTAAGGTTGCCGAATTTCAAAGTGTATCCCTGACCGAACACGGGCAAACCGAGGACGATCCTCGACCGGTGTTCCATCGGGACTCGATCGGCCCATTTGTTCGTCACTCGGGCAACGTAGTTCAACGGCGCCGGATGAAGGGCGAATTTCTCCCGCCTGAACGCGGGGCTGTCTCTCCAGGCTCTCAGAGTAACCAAATCGGCCACAGAGGCGATCTCTTGATCCACCGGGTCGTCCGGCTTCTGCACCACCGCGAGGATATACTCCCGATCGGCGAAATGCTTCCTGATCGTACCCAGAAGAAGTTTCAAATCGTACGAACGATCCGGTGGCCCGTCCCAGTCGATCTCCACGCCGTCGAAGTCGTGCGCCTGGAGGAAACTCACGACCGATCTCCCGAATCTCTCGCAGTGAAGGGTGCATCGTTTCTCGGTCAGCTTGGTGAACAGGTTCCCCCGATTCGGGGCGGTGATCGAGACGAGCACGCGCAGCGCCGGGTCTCTCGATCGGTGTCCCGTTATCGCTTTGTATCCACCTGTACGAATTGATTGGGAATAAATTAACGGGAGTCTCGCCTGTTTGTTCCGGCCAAGTTAACCGACGTCCCGTAACGCCTTACCCTTGATCTCGTCGTATTCGCGATCTCTCGAGACGACGACCAACTCCTCCGGGTCTGAAAATTAGAAGGACAGTTCGTTACTTGTTGCTTGTAGGTGTGTGACGGGCTTGCGAAATTACCGTAATTTTATATGTGTACTATATATATATAATTAATTACATTTCATAATAATTAATATATATATACATATAATTAATTAATATATATTAAATTATATATATATAATTAATTACTTAACATTTCCTTTTATTAATAATTAAAGTTATTTTTAATAATTATAAGTAGAATTTTAACTGTTGCAATAACTATATATATATAATATGTGTACTATATATATATATATATATAATACATAAGTATACTTATAGTAACTTATATATATAATATAAATATAGTATAAATTAGTATAGTACATATATAAAATTATAGCGTAATTATGAAATAGACATAGTATATATACAATATACAATAAAGAGCATAATTATACCAACGACAGTGAAAAATTATATTGGTACAGTCATAAAATGTTATTAGTTATTACAGTTATGTTATTAGTTATTACAACAGTCATAAAATGTTATTAGTTATTACAGTTATGTTATTACAGTTATTACAACAGTTAGAATTCTACTTATAATTATTAAAAATAACTTTAATTATTAATAAAAAGAAATGTTATGGAATGTAATTAATTATTAACTCTAGTTATAGTTACTAATAATAACTCTAATTAATTATTAATTCTATACTTAACTAATAATTAATTATTAATTCTACACTTACAGACATTAATTATTAATTATAGTTATTGTTATTAATCATAACTTTAAATTAATAAAAAGAAAAGTTATAAAATGTAATTAATTATTAATTCTAGTTATAGTTACTAATAATAACTATGATTATTAATAACTCTTATTATTAACAAAAAGAAGAGTTACAAAATATAATTAATTATTATTTTAGTCTAATTCTAGTATAGTACATTTTAGTAAGTCTAATTCTAGTATAGTATATTAGTATATTTTGGTGTAATTTTAGTATAGTATATTAGTATATTTTAGTCTAACTCTAGTACTAGAGTTAGATTAAAATATATAGTTGGACTATAATAGTATATTAGTATATTTTAATCTAACTCTAGAATAGTATATTAGTATATTTTAATCTAACTCTAGTATAGTATATTAGCATATTTTAGTCTAATTCTAGTATAGTACATTTTAGTTAGTACATTTTAATTCCAGTATAGTATATTAGTATATTTTAGTCTAATTCTAGTATAGTATATTAGTATATTTTAGTCTAACTCTAGTACAGTATATTAGTATATTTTAGTCTAACTCTGGTACAGTATATTAGCATATTTTAGTCTAACTCTAGTATAGTATATTAGCATATTTTAGTCTAATGCTAGTATGTTTTTATTTAAAAAAATGGTATCCAGTATTTCAATCAAAAGGATGATACCCAAAGTGGCAGCGACGTATATCAAATGGCTACACCGATGATTCGGCACCGATTGGGGGAGCAAAGAGAACGGCTCCGCCCTGTGAGCTGCGTTGGAGTCCAGATGACACACCACCTTCGGATTGACGATCTGCTCGGTCCTTGTTAAAGTCGGTGGAGCCAGTGGCTCGATCCAAATGGACTCGTGGTCGAAGTTGCCGATGAAGGGAGCTTCTCGATGCTCCACAGCGTCTCTCAGGGGGACTCGGCCACTGAAACCAACCAACCAACAGTCAAATTATTCCTTTTTTAACCCTTTGTCCTCGACAAACTTTATTTTGGTGTCATTTACCAGCAATTTACTTATTTACCAATTTATTTTCAAATAAAATGACAGAACATTGGAAATAATCATTCAAATGGTTGATATTATCTTTCTAACATGTGATATCTTTTAAACTTAAACTTAAAGCAATCATCAACGTGAATTGCGCGTTTGCTAGAACAAGTATAAATACAAGAGTTAATGATACACAGTTTCAATCTCTGGAAAAATAATATCTTCCATTTTTGTAAGAAGGAATAAGAAGTCTAGCTTATGTGAATTATTGAGTGTCAATTGACTCATTTAGGACTGTCTTCAGAAATTACTTCTTCTGAAATTCTAAATATACAAGAGTTAATGGCACATAGTTTCAATCTCTGGAAAAAGTAATATCTTCCATTGTTTTTTAGACTTTTGTAAGAAGCAATAAGCAGTCTAGTTTATGTGAATTATTGAGTGTCATTTGACTCATTTAGAACTGTCTTCAGAAATTTCTTCTTCTGAAATTCTTGTGTGCATTGTAAGTTTGCTAGAACAAGTATAAATATACACGAGTTAATGAAACATAGTTTCAATCTCTGGAAAAGTAATATCTTCCATTGGTTTTTAGACTTTTGTAAGAAACAATAAGAAGTCTAGCTTATGTGAATTATTGAGTGTCAATTGACTCATTTAGGACTGTCTTCAGAAATTACTTCTTCTGAAATTCTTTTGCTCTTATGTCGTTATTATAGCTCTCACTCTAGGCGTCTCTTCAGATATCATACTGTTATACATCGCATCAACACAACACCAAACGTACATTATAATCATCAGCGAATTATCATCAAAAAGAGGAAGTCTGAGCTAGATTCAAGTACGATGTCCCCTCAGAAGGATTGCAGTGGAGTTAATTACCGTACAATGTAACAAGAAGTTCGAAGTTCGAAACGTCGGGCAGCCTCATTGTTAGTCTTGAAACGGGCAACAATCGTCGATAAATTAATCATGAAATCAAGGTAGATACAAGGTGAACGTCGATTATTTGCAAATGAAAAACCATCGAGATAACGATGACAGCGACGATACTGACTGTGAGAGATCTCGCAGAGGTTGGCTGACGATTTGATTCGTGGACGAAGGCAACGCTTCGACCGCGTCGCGCAGGGGGAACCTCTCCGATCCGTATTCGGCGTGCGTCACGGAGGAATCCTTCATCGGAGGGCTCTCCACGGCGCCTCGTTGGAACGATGGCCCGCTGATCATCTCCGCTCCCCTCTCCACGGTGTCCAACGGCGGTGGTTGCAGTACATCAGGTATCGATATCCAGTAGGGCGGTCCTGCGGCCGTCCAGGCCACGAGGAACAGAATGAGCCAAGGAGTCATAACTGCTAAAAAAAGAAATTACCAAACAATGAGCACGTGTGTCTCTCCTAACAAGTTGTGTCTCCAAATTTTGTAAAAAAAATTTGAAACTATTCCGGCGGGAGTTTGTAATTTATCTGACTGTGAGTCCCTTTTCGACAAATTCTCCAACTCCAATTACCACTATATATATATATATATATATATAATTACATTTTATGACTGTACCAATATAATTTTTCACTGTCGTTGGTATAGTTATGCTTTTTATTGTATATTATATATATATATATATACATATGACCAATATAATATTATATTATATAAATATATAATATATAATATATAATTATATTATTTTATATTATATATATATTATATATTTTATATATATATAACCAATATAATTTTATATTATAGAAATATGTAATTATAATTATATTATTTTATATTATATATATTATATAATATTATTATTTATATATATATATATAAAAAATATAATTTTTCACTGTCGTTGGTATAGTTATGCTTTTTATTATATATTATATATATATATATATATATACCAACGACAGTGAAAAATTATATTGGCACAGTCATAAAATGTAATTAATTATTACAATTATTACAACAGTTAAAATTCTACTTATAATTATTAAAAATAACTTTAATCATTAATAAAACGAAATGTTATGGAATGTAATCAATTATTAACTCTAGTTATAATTATTAATAATAACTCTTAATTACTAATAATTAATTATTAATTCTATACTTATAGATATTAATACTATATACTGCTACACAGAATTTCATTTCATTTAGAATTTACTTTCTTTTTGATTATTGTGAAATTTGAAAAAGAAACGACATTTACCCATTGCAATATCTGCATCTCGATGAGAAACTTACATGGTCGTTAACGCAAATAGGATGCGCGTTATTAACATTCGCGTGGTTTTGTTCATTTGCGCGTGTGACAAGCAGATCTACTCGATTCTTATCTTAATAGCGAGAGTTAAGAGGTGTGTCTGTGTCGATCGACTCTGCTTTCGGTAATTAGGCGAGCCTGTAGCTCGGGCAAAGAAAGAATAATCATCGACCAGCAGTAGAAGCCGTGGAAGGGACGTAAATTCGATGACTGATGAATGAATCAGCAACGACATCAATTAATCTCGACAGCGTATCTGACAAATACAAAACGTCATAATTAACGAGCAGGGATACTTCGTGAGTTATCGGGTGTTAAATACATGGATATCTTCTTCTTCTTCTTCTTCTTCTTCATCATCATCTTTTTTCTTTCTTTCTTCCTTTTCTCTGCCTTCAGGAAAACCAGATTCGCTGGAAACGCACTCACGCAACGTATGTATGTATGTATTTACGCGTTGGCCGGCAAACCTGTCCTCCGCTCGAGAAAATAATATAGAAAAATAATACAGAACGAGACGTGCGTTACAAGAGCTCTGCTTGCCACAATAATTACTCTTTGGGGTGATTAACTGGAATAACGTACGATCGCAGCACCTTGAACAACGGTCATTCTTCTATCGTTATGTGCACAAAAAGGTAGAAGACGTCTTTTTTTTTTTTTTTTTTGAAGAAGAAGAAGAAGGCATTTTTACTGGCATTTTTTCGAACGTTCCAACAACCGCAGGATGCAACTTTTTATATCCGTGAAATTATATACGAGGTGTTCTGAAGTTTAACGTTGGAACTTCACCCAGTGTGCTCCACAAGTAAAAATAGGATTGATAAAAGATTAAGAATTAAGATTAATATAAGATTAAGAATTAAATAAGATTAACATAAGATTCAGAATTAAATGAAATTAATACAAGATTAAAAAATTAAATGAGATTAATATAAGATTCAGAATTCAATAAGATTAATATAATATTCAAAATTAAATAAGATTAATATAAGGTTAAGAATTAAATAGGATTGATAAAAGATTAAGAATTAAGATTAATATAAGATGAAGAATTAAATAAGATTAACATAAGATTCAGAATTAAATGAAATTAATACAAGATTAAAAATTAAATAAGATTAATATAAGATTCAGAATTCAATAAGATTAATATAATATTCAAAATTAAATAAGATTAATATAATATTCAGAATTAAATAAGATTAATATAAGATTAAGAATTAAATAAGATTAATATTAGATTAAGAATTAAATAAAATTAATACAAGATTGAGAATTAAATGAGATTAATATAAGATTAAAAATTAAATAAAATTAATGTAAGATTCAGAATTAAATAAGATCAATATAAGACTGAAAATTATAAATAAAATTAAAAACAAGATTAAATCGTCACGTGGCAAAATGTTTCACTCAAAAGTATGATAAATGTGACAAACACAGTTTCAACGATTAATCCATTCATCTAGCCTCTTAGATCACTAAATCTTACATCTTCAAGCCATTACTTATGCAAAAAATATTCATCTTCAAAAGCAAAAGTTTATAGAAGAATTTAGCAGATGTTTAATAAAGTTGACGTGAAGTAAAACGGTGCATAATAAATTCAACGGTACTTAAATATCAATTTTGCATTGACAAAGATGATTCGAAGTGCACGTGTATTTCATATTTTATACGAAATGAACTTTTTTTATGTTATTTTCACCTAATGCACTGGCAAATACTGGTCTTCGAAACACCTTGTATATCTGACATTTTATTAACACTGAAAAAGACTGAAAATTTCCCACGACCGAAAGTGGTAAGAAGAAATTCAAGTTTTTGTGAATTTTAACGAAAGAAATGACACGTATAAACGACGAATTTTTCGTGGAATTAATTTGGATTGATTAACCTTGGCATTCATGCTAATATTTTTACCAGAAGTACTTGAGTTTACTGTTCAATAGCTGCCCGACGAATCAGAAGACAATAACGAACAAGAAGACATACAGCGTGTAACAATACCGCGAAATTGAAATTTATGCGCTGATTCACCCGAGGACAAAGACACGCGCCGCCACATAAATTCTCGGCGATGGTGTTTAGCCATTAAAAATGCGACGCTCGTAGGTGGAAGTGACCGCAAGGAGGACAACGTTTGCCAGCCAGTCGTCGGCTACCATTCTTCCGATACAACAAAATATCAATCACAATGCCTTCGATGACAAGTCATTCTTTTCTTCCTTTTTCTCTCCATACATTTCACCTTCGTCTCGTTCACCGTTCTGCAACGTATTTACAATTAGCTGAGCACATTTTCAACAGTAAGAATTCTTACTGAAACTCTGGACAAGTTGCAAAAGTTGCAAAATGTCGAATGGTTTCTTTCCCTCGTATGTATAAATAATATTTGCTGAAATTAGTTGAATGAACTTGCTCTGAAGGTAGACAAGTAGGTAAAACGTCGAGTGACTTTTCAGGTACACAGGCGAGTCAATCAAATCATGTAACGCTTAACGAGAATCAAACCACTTGATCAGAGGTTGCCGAATATCAACTGTCGTCTGTTATTATACTCAGCTCATCCAACGGCGACAAACCGTGAAAATGTGATATAATTTTCTACTGTAATTAATAATAACGACACATTAAAAACAAGAAAGGAAGCTCGAGGAAAGACACAAACATTCGCACTCTGCTTGAGGAAAACCGGTCACCGATCGAGCAGAAGGAAAGAACGTCGACTCTCTTCTTTGTAAGGAAAAAAAAAAGAAATCTAACGAGAAATAATTAATAATATAATAATAAGAACATATAATTAATAATATAATAATAAGAACATATAATTAATAATATAATAATAACATATAATTAATAATATAATAATAAGAACATATAATTAATAATATAATAATAAGAAAAGTTACACGAGAAAGAGAGAATATGAGAAGACGAACCTTGGCGAAGAACAGAGGGGTCTCCTCCGATAGAAAAAGTGCCGAGTTTGCTGGAACGGTCTCCGATAGCTGGCCGATCCGAAGAAGCGTGAATGGCAGTGGATTCCGCTGCACTGACCGATATGATTGAGAAGCCGCGAGCGGGCCCCTCCGGACAACCTCCACCGACTCGCCTCCAGGTCGTTCGCGATGAATTTTTCAAAGCACACCACCCGCCTCGCGGGGAGGGCTAACTTGCATGAATCTGGTATTCCGAACGCGCGGGGACGTCCATATATACCTACTCGATCGCCCAGGGACCCCCGCGCACCCTACGCGGGGGACCCTGTCTCCCAGCGTCCTTGACCACGAAGAACCACGACCGTGTACGTACACCAATTCTCCTCAAGTGGCGTGATACACCTTGTTGGTCCGTGGCAACGACACACGATTTTCGTGTGTGCGTGTTCCTGCACCACGGCTCGCAGCTCTCGATAGTCGGGCCTCCTTCTAATTCAACGACACACGCGCGCCCATTATCTCTCCTCATCGGGCAGAAACGATTGACGATCGTTTCCCTCCCTTTCTCCGGTCCTCCACCCTTGAAAACGTCTCGCGCTTCGACACATAGTCATCGAAGCGAATTTTCGACTAGCAGTGTAACTATTTTGTTTCTCCCATCGGAACGAAAACGATGCACTTACTTTCTCGTCTCGGGATCTAAGTTCGAGCTCTTCCTTTCCTTTTTAGTAATATTTAGCTTCTCGTTTGTGTAATTAGTAATTATTCGTTGCATGTAAGGACACGTACTGCATTGTATGATTCGTGTACTGTGTGCGTAAGTTTAACAACAAGTTCAAACGTTTCTGCTTTTCCTTTTGTAATATTTAGTTTTTCTATTTGTATTCAATTATTATTCGTTGCAAGCAGGGACAATTTTGGTAATAAGATATTGTGACGATTTTATATGTGTTTTTTGTCAGGGCCTAAGTTCAAGCTCTTTTTTTTTTTTTTTTTTTTTTTTAGTAATAATTAGACATTTGTATTCAGTTATTATTCAGTTAGTTGCATGTAAGGACAATTTTAGTGATAATGTACTGTGACGATTGCATTGTATGATTTGTTATTCTATATAAGCTTCTTGTCAGGACCTAAGTTCAAGCTCTTCTCCTTTTTTTTTGCAATATTTTTTTTTTAGTTATTTGTATTTAGTTATTATTCATTGCATATAAGAACAATTTCAGTGATAGTATACTCTATACAAATTCTCATATAAACTCTTCTTTTTCTTAATATTTATCTTCTTTTTTAAATATTTTAATATTTTTTTGTCAAGACCTAAGTTTAAGCTTTTGTACTTTTTTTAAAGTAATATTTAGTTTCTTGTTATTTAGTTATTATTATTAAGTTTTTTGTCAAGACTCGAGTTCAAGCTCTTCTTCTTTTCTTTTTAATAATATTTAGTTTCTCGTTATTTGTATTCAATTATTATTTGTTGCACGTAATTTTAGTAATAATATATTGTAACGATTGCACTGTACGATTTACATATTTCATACAAGATTCTTGTCTAGACCCAAGTTCAAACTCTTCTCTTTTTTAATATTTAGTTCCTTGTTGTCTGTATTCAGTTATTATTCGTTGCATGTAAGGACAATTTCATTAACAATATATTGTGACGTTATACATGTCTCAGAAATGACACAACTCGAACGAGATTTTAAAGGAAAACAGAAGGCCATATTCTGGAAGGTTACAAAATATGATTTACTAAATGAGTTACTAAACTACTGAAGGGCCGCTAAACAGATTTACAAACAACAGTTAAATATTATTTCCCTATTTGAATACCTTTGGATTCACAATGCCTTTGCAATAATATTGAAATTAGGATCGAATAGACTTGCAATTTATGCATCCGTTGGTGTCGATCGAATTTCCGAACCTCACTGTATGTTCACCATTACGACAGAGTAACTATTTCAAAAGAACATAATACTTTTTATTAGTGCGATTACTGAATCGTTTCTACGATTAGATTAAACTTACTTAAGAAATGCATTATTATTATTACTTCGAGTGTAAACAATATCGCGTAAACAATGTCGTGTTTACAGAACAATATCCGACACAGGGGTGTTACACTAAGCAGCACAAAGAGATTAGTACTATGCTGTACCTACGGCTAGTACAATGCGTTCCGTTACGTATGCCACGCTCGTTCTCTGTTTAACGTAGTACCTTGATTTCAATGATGCTCGAAAACCCGTTGCCACTTGGGTGCTTCCGCTTCTTCAACGAAGCTGCCAGGATCATAATTTGCACATTTAATATCGACAGGACAGCCATGTGCCATACATTAAAATATTCCTACATTTAAAAAATTCAACCAGAATCTCTCTTTCTCTCTCTCTCTCTCTCTCTCTCTCTCTCTCTCTGCACGGCGTATTCCTGTCTCGTCGTTTATTTAGGCACGATCTTTTTCCTCTCTGAAAGAAAAATATAAACATGCGTTTCTCTCGATCGATTCGGTAACAACGAACGTTCAATTCCAAGTCTTTACTTTCGACCTTGCGGGAGACGCGATTTCAGAAAAATAACTTTTTTTTTCTTTCTCTTCTTCTTTCTTTCAGTTCCACGAATCGGCGAGGTTTTTACGTGTTAGACAAAAAGGCTGCGCAACAAAAACGGCGAGGGAGGGGGGAGGGGGGAGGGGGGGAGGCAAAAAGGCGACAAACCGTCGATAGCGATCGTTGAAAAATGAAGGCTTTCAGATCCTCGGTCTGAAGACACTTCGCTTCAGTGAACGGGGAAAAAAAAAAAAAGTGACGAAATGGAAAGATCTGGGGAGGACTGGTCCCATTGAAGAATTCGCGGCACCAGGTATCCCTGGGAATCCTAAAAATAAAGGCTACTTTGGGGAGTGGCCTTGAACTTGCGACCGGTTGTTTGCTCTCTAACGACGAAAAGGATGGACGAAAAGAATGGACAAAAAGAAAAATAAAGAGAGAGAGAGGGAAGAGAGGATCATTTACGACGAAACTTAAGCTATTAAGCGAAGAAACGAACGGGCTTTCAGCAGTCGATCGACGATTAGATTCCAGTGGTTATGGAGGTTAGGCGACGAAACGAGAGGAACACAAAGGCAGAGGCACGAAGACGACGAAGCTTAGCCGTGAGGAGTTAGACGGGACGAGTATTCAAATTTGAGGATGCCAATCGATTAATTGTTCTCCGTTCTCCGAATGAATCTGGCGCGGGAGATCCAGTTTGCGCTCGAGGGCTCAGAACACAACTGCGGGAGCCGATTGTCGATGAACGCACACTTCTTTGAAGTTCATTGGCATCGGGTGGCCAAATGTGTTTCGATACAGGTTTTTATTGGTCTCTTTTTTCGTACGTGGAACCTGTTAAAGCGATTTAACAGCCAAACGGAATGCATAATTAAATCACGCGGCTGGAAATGACAACGATCCTTGTATGTATAGTAGATATAGAATAGAAAAATGGGTTCGTAATTTCTAGGATAGATAGTACTCGCCGAGAAACGTGAAAGAAAGGCCTTAATAAACACAAGTCGAGAAATTAATAGTTTCAAAGGATTATAAACGATTTTTTGTTTCGGTTTGTTTATCACTACTTTTTTTTCCATTTCGTTTCTAAGCGAGTTTCTATCATAGATATTACGAACCCTTTTTTCTATGCATCCTATGTATATAATTTGTATCTCTACGCTCTTTGAATTATATAATTATCTATCTATATATAATTATATCTTTATAGATAATTATATAATTCAAAGAGCGTAGAGATACAAATTATATCGTCTTCCGTGTATTGAAATGATTAATATTCTTTTGTTAATGAACACAGATAACTTAAGTCGCTCAACTTTAATATTTTGATGTGATTAATTATATCAATATTTATACAATATTATATTAATTATATTAATATTATCTCATATTATACTTTAAATTTTTTCATCAAGTAACACAACTATAATATAACTTTAATAATTGTTTCCTGAAAGGTGTAACATCCTAATGGCGGATGAATTTGTTACACAGCCTAACATGGTTAACCTAAACAAACAAATTCCTAATCTAGAAGAACACATAGAAAACTCTCTGTAATGAGAAAAAGAAGAAATACTAAAGTAAACCACTACTTTACATATAGCACGAATTTCCTCTCGAGAAGCGAAAACAAAAGATTATTTATAACTTTGAAACTATTCATTTTTCAATCCATGTTTATTAACGTATTACATGTTACTTTTTTTTATGTTTCGACGAATACTATCACAGAAGGTTACAAACTTCTTTTTTTCATTCACCCTGTACATAAATGTGTTCGTTCTTGCAAAGATCCTTATCATTTATCTCGCGATCATAAGTGCGCCGATTTTTCACAAAAACTCGAGAAAGGGAAAGTTTCGACAACGATCAACGAAATTGCACGATTCGTCGAGGAGCCTTGACTCGACAGAATTGTCTCGTATAACTAATAGAATCATTAATGCATCCCTCTCCTCCTAGAAACCTCAGCTTGGACGTTCGTTTGATATTTTCGCCACTGATGTGTACACGAGAAAGCTATTAACAGGAGAGCAATAGATAATTTGGGAGACGAAGACCCGTCTGTTTCGTTTAGGCCGTGTCACTGTGTTAGGTTAGGTGATTTATACGACCCATCTTGGACACGTGTGAAATCCTTGGGAAATCCACGGAGGATCATTCGTCAGCCAAAGTTACGATACTTGTAATGAAGAAATCAAACTGCCTTCAATTACGTCATCGATGGCATTAATCCCGTGATTATTCCGATTAAAGGATAGAGATAATTAACTAAATGACGACGATTTTCAGAGGAAACCTACATACATAAAATTACGAAAGTTTTATATATATATATATACACACTAATATAACTGTAACACGATCAAACGCGACACATTCCTTCGAGTTTGAAGGATCTTAAGAAAGAATCAAGGCCACGTTGACAGCTTTCTGGTTAGTGACCCGCGCCTATTCCAGGATATGAAGATTTCGATTATCGTGCATGAAACTCTTGAAACTCTTAAGCTTCTTCCTCTTCCCTTCTCTTTCTTTCCTTTTTGTCCTCCCACTTTGCTCTTCTCTGTTCATAACTGCCCAGCTGGCGAAAGGTGTCGAACTTTAATATCTCCGGTATTTATCGCTCTTCTATTTTCGCGTGGGTGTCTCATGAATAAATACAATCCCCTTAATTATTGGAAGTGTATAACGAGATCGCGTTTACTTTACAATCGTGTGGCTAGTTCGAACGTTTCGTTTCGAGTTTTGCACGTTTCGTACACGAAGTGGCAAAGTGTCATATTTTCTTTGATCACGTTTTCCCAAGAAGTTTGTCCTTTAATACTAGGACTACCGACGACTAAAGGCATAAAATTTCCGTCAGAGGCGGTAAAGTAATAGGGTACACAAGCTTTTACGAAGAATACATGCCAATCTCCAAAGATACACTGTTTTGTGTCTGTAAAATGTCCAACAAAACTATTCAAATAGTAGTTTTGATTATTTTGGTAGTTCCAGTGGTAAGAAATTAAAGGAATTTTCCTCGTTCTACGATAAAAAACGAGAACGCGTGGCGGGTTATTAATGAGCTGAGATTCCAATATTCTGCGGTGTATATGTACGTAGTGTAAATTACGCATACTTGCGTTATCACACGGTCAAGTCGAAGGCAGTGCGTCATAAATGTAGATGACACATTCACTACATGGACGTTATTAATCGTAAACGTGTATGTGAATATAAGATTTGATTGCCAATTCCTTTAGATGGTCTCTTATCCGTTTTTGCATTTTCAATAATATAAAACAACTGGAAAGGAGCATCAATATGTCATTTAATAATGTGTATTAATCGGATTATACTCTAGAAGGTTAATCCTTCAACAAGTACTCTTGTTCATCCTTTTTATTTCCTTTATTTCCTTATTTCACTACAATTGTTGTTACTTTCGCCACACCTATGTGTCAAATTTAAAACAAAATTTAAAGACAATACTAAAAAGAATGTAAACAAAAAAAAAGAGAGAAAAGAATAAATAACAAAAATGATTTTAGGAACTTGTAGGAAAATAGTGAACCATCGTGGAGAATGAAGGAGAAGGATCGAGGTGTCCGAGACATCCATGGCCAACATCTTAAATAATCTTCAAACACTTTAATCCGTCGTGATCCTGCGAGGGAATGAATATCGCAATGAAACGGAAATATGTTATTTTTAAAATAAAAGAGAGGGAAGAAAGTCTATCACCAACAATGCTGACAGGAGCTTACGTAATTATTTAAGGAAAAAAAAAAGAGAGAGAGAGAGACGAAAGAATTTCTTCGACATTTCCTTGAAGAGATAACTGTCGTTTGCAGATCCGTCTGTCGTGGCCAGATTTCAACCCCCACGGCCATCGCCTGTATAAAAGTATCGTAGTCTCGGGATCTCAGGACAGATTTGCCTTGCACGGCTAACAGAAACAGCATTCGCGACAACTTTTCTAAAGAAACGAAGGAAACAGGTAATTGTGTAAAATTTATTTTTCAAGAAGCAAACTGAAAATGATAATTAACAATATTTTCTCTCATTCGTGTTGTTTTTGCAAACGAAGCATGACATCGATAAAATATGTACTGATCTTAATTGTGATGCTGGGACTCACGTACCGTACACTGGGAACAACTGAAGATTCTTACAGGAACCTGTTGGGAATGAATTTTCCATACGGCAGAGGAATGGTAAGAAAAATACAAGAGTATGAATTTGTTTGACCTCGGTGGCCTTAATAAACGGGTGAAATGCGTTTTCAGAACAATGATTTGCAACTTGCAAGAATCCTGTTGCCACCCTGCCTCTGCCACAATAAGCGCAACTCCGAACTTATCAACTCGCTGTTGGGCTTACCGAAGAACATGAACAACGCTGGAAAGTAAAATCACTAACGTTTACTGGCAACGATACACTTTTATTTAATGTATACATTTCAGAGAAGCTTCTAAGCTTGTAACATACTGAATTCAATAAACTAGAAGAATTATACCTTTGTTGACAATTTTTTTAATAAATCGTATTTCTTTTTCCTAGCTGCAACAAATTACGATTGTTAGATCAAATAAAATATAAATTCTTCCTTCCAAGAGTATGTTTTAAAATGTCCGTTCGAAAGAAGAGATTTAATGTTATACAACAAAAAATATAAATTCTAACATTAAAATCTTTTAACTACAATCCCCCTTTTTTTCATGGAATTCACGACGAAATTTTTCATTTTTCAATATCTTTGTCATTCCATATAATTTCAAATGCAAAACAGCGAGTACTTCGAAATTTACAAAGTTTATTCCGTAGAAAAAGCAGTCACTCTTGTTTCTAGTTTTAAATTCATCATATGTGTTTAAAACTTCAAGTGGAAACCACCACCGATAGGTGGTTGTCTACCGCCTTCCGTAAGACCCATATGAAAACCAGAGTTACTCAAATCAGCGTCGTCTCCGTCTCCCAACTGTTTGTACTCTTTTCCACCACTTGGTGGTTTTGGCGAAGCATTCGCTGTTCGTACGCCAAGCTCCGACTTGGCTGGCCACGTAGGGAACATTTGTGGATCTATCGGTAACGGTGCCTCTGTGAAATAACCATGTTTTAAAGCATCTTCCGCCGAGATTCGTTGTTGAGGATCGTACGTGAGAAATCTGAAAAATAAAAGAAAATTTGCTATGAGTTAACAGACAGAAAAATAATGCTAAATCTCGAGGATATTGTTCGAGGAAGACATACTTGTTTAACATTTCGATGCCTAAATCTGACAAGGATAAGCTGAAACGTTGTCTCAAATTGTTTACGGGATAATGAGCAAATGGAATTTTCTGCACCATCGGCAGTTTGCTATACCCTGGCCATATCCGATCGTTTGGCGTACCTAATTCTTTGAATATCCTATTTAATTGATCAATCTCAGATTTACCTGGAAATAATGCCTCCATCCTTAATAACTCTGCAAAAATGCATCTGAAAAAAAATATAGATATATAGTTTTAACAATAATAAGACATTTTTCATACTATTGCGTTTAAATTAAATTTTATGTTATTTAATCTTTTAATATTTTTCCCTTACCCGACCGACCACATATCGATGGGAGTGCTATATTCTTTCCCACTCAATAGCAATTCAGGAGCTCTGTACCAAAGCGTTACAACAATCGGAGTATATTGTCTCAAAGGAGAACCATATTCTCGCGCTAAACCAAAATCACCAACCTTCAAAATACCACGATGACTTAGCAATAAGTTCGACGTTTTCAAATCTCGATGAAGAATCCAATTGTCATGCAAATGTGCTACTGCTCTTAACAATTGTTGCATAAGACACTTGACTTCTCCTACAAACAAAATATTTGCTTGTATTACACGTTTACATTATACACGCTTATATTACATGCTTATGTTACACTGATACGCATATTTTTATTCCTTTTTAACAATATTAGTCATAGTTACCTGGTATGAAAACCTGTTTCTTCTGCTTCATCGTTTCCATTAATGATTTCAAGTCATGTTCCACGTAATCCATTACAATAAATATCTTATCCATGTTACTGCCAACAACTATTTCTCGGACAGTAACAATATTCGGATGCTGAGCTTTCAGCAGAGTATTTATTTCTCTGAGGCTGGTTATCGGGAAGCCTTCTTTTTCTTTCTCCATTTTCAGTCGTTTCAGAGCAACAATTTCGTCCGTACGTTTATCACGTGCCCTGTACACTACGCCATATGTACCTTCCTCGATACGATTCAAACATTGAAATTCTTCTACGCTTCTGCAACCTGCAATATCAAAAATATGAAAATCACACACACACACACACACACGCGCGCGCACACAATACAATGTAAAGATCGAGAAAAACAGATAGATTTACCTTGAATTGCTGGCAAGTACGGAGGTAATTCAGGTTCTTCCTCCTCCTTTTTCTCTTCTTCTTCCTCCACGTTCTTCGACGCGCTGTTCGAATCCACGTGTCCAGGCGACTCTCCATCGGAATGATCAGATTTCGCCAACCGGTCAACAGATAAGGGACTTGGATTATTGTAATCAGAACCGTCGTTGGAATCAGCATTGGAACCTTTATTTGAATCGTTTGATTCGTCGTCGTCATCGCTGCTGGATTCGGACGAATCGGAAGAGTGTCGATCAGAGGATCTCTCGCGTATACTTCTTTCTCCATCAGACGAGTGTCTAGATCTATAAACAAATAATTGGGCGAGTTTTAGATATCAAAAATAGAATGACATTGATCACGACAACATATGACATTAATTACAATAGTATGTAACTCTTACTCGATAGATTTAGAACGAACTTCGTCCGAATGAGCGGGACTCGGGCTCTCGTCGGATAACTCTACGATAGACGGATCTTGATCATTATCCGGACTCAAAGGTCGTTTCTCACCTCTTTTCATTCGTCGCGCTTCCAACTCTAACCGAGAAACTTCTTTCCTTCTAGCCATCTCTCTGTCAGCTTCCAGCAACCTTTCTTTCCTAAGTTCCTGTTCGGTCATTTCTTTCGGATCCTTCGGTTGTATCGGTATTTCGTTGATCTCCATATCATCCGGCTCATCCGTGACGATTTCCATTGCCTCGCGCAACTGCTTTTCTCTGTGCTCTTTCTCGCGCTCCACTTTCTCCCGGTCTCTCTCGCGAAGCCGATCGTGCTTGTGCGATCTCTTGTGACGTTTCTCACTTCTCTCGGGTCGTTCCATTAACTCCGTTTCGGAGTACTGCTCCTCCATTACCCTCATATGTCTGTGCTCTTCCATTCGAATTTCACGACGTTCTCTGATGTCGTCGATAGCACGAGTCTCGCGACGTTCTCGCATATCCTCCAACCGTATTTCTCGACGCTCGCGCGACTCACGTAACTCTCGCGTGTCCTCCAAACGGATCTCGCGGCGAGTTTCCATTTTATAATCACGAATATCGCGAGAGTCCTCTCGCCTCTCTCTTCTTTTATCTAACAATCTGCCAATTAAATAATTAAACTTCAATAAAAAACGCAATTTTATACGCAACGAAATAAACGAAAAATGAGAAATACTTTATACCTTTCCCTCAGATCTTCCAAAACACGATCCCCTGTACTTCTCTCTTTCCTGTCGTGTCTAGACTCTCTGTCTCTGTGACTCTCCATTCTTTCTAACCTTTCAAGTCTTTCCCTGTCCCTTTTGGAACCATCTGAACGTTCTGATCTTTCCAAAATATCCACACCGTGTCTACGATGTCTATGCTTATCTCTGTGTCTATCTTCCCCGCGATCATGATGCCTAGACTTTCTCTCCTTCTCTTCCCTACGATCTCTTCTATCGCTGTGTTTGTCCCTCCTTCGTGAAGAATTAGATTTGTGATGGCGAACAACAGCCTGCGGCGGTTTTATGTCCAAAGAGTCTGCTGTATCTCCCCCATCCTCCTCTGAAAAGCTTTAAGTATACTTTTCTCAAAACAACTAACGTTTCAAAAACGCAAGACTGACTTGTTAGAATGTTGTTTTTAACTTTTTTTTTCATTTAGTAAATGTAGAAGCACATTGTAACATGTAAAAGCTTCTCCGTTAGTTAAAAAACAGAAAAAATAAATTATGTATGCATGTTTCAGAAAGTTGGTGCTGAAATTCAAGAGTACGCAATACTTATCAAAACAAGTGGAGAACTTTGGTAATACATTTGTTTGAATATTAATATCCTATTTATGGAATATCTAGATTCATGAAATATCATCCACAACCAATCCATTTACTTCAACACACAGTTTAGCAGAATTATTCTTGAAATAATGCCTCAGAACCAAAAGCTTCACATGCACGTAGATGTTACAATAAAGTACACTTTTGATTCATTATTGTTGAACAATACAATCACATGGCATTACCGCATATTCTATTGTTATGATTGACCTAAGAACCTATCTGGTAAATTGTATACGCAACAAACTCTCTTGCGCCGTTACAGGCCTCACAGTCGAAAAAACCTTAACCTCCGATTATCTAATGCGATATACAGACCCATGTCTTACTAAGACTCGCGTCTTTTGTTTGTTTTTGACGAATACTATGAACTCTTGGATATTGGCACCAACCTTCTGAAACACTCTACGTCAAGAAAGAAACACAGTTTTAATAATGCAGTGCAAAAGATTGAGGTTAAGTAACACGAGAGCGTCAGCATTATATACAATACCTGAAGTCGTCCATGTCTTTCGAAGGGCTTTTCTTTATTTCACCGTCCTCGCTTTGATTATCAATATCCATATCAAGCCTACTTTCTGACATGTTACAGGTAAACGGTTTCACTTCTCGTCGACAATTTACCATGCATAATTACGAACGACAGACAGACGAGGCGCGAACGTTCCAAAACCAAATCCGTTGAAACAAAACGAATCTCGTACGCAACAACTGCAACGTACAAAAGTGCAACGTACGAGTTTTCACGATACCGATGCTCGTTCAATTCATAATTACACGTTTTTCAACGAAATAAACAATTGCATAGTAACTCGAGGACAGACTCGGACGCGTCACGTCCAATCACCGCTCTGCTTTCGCGCGTACTGACGCGCCATTGATGGATTCCAGCTTGCCTCGTGACACAACAAGAAGCGTTTGCACTTGACCAATCAGGATCGAGCGATTTTCCTTCGTACGCCATATTTGAATTAATGTGCCGTTATATCTTACGTTTCGTGCTATCACTGTTAAAAGATTCTCTAAAAGATATTATAGATTCGTACGCGCAGAATTACAGAGAGGTATTTTTATTTTCACGAAAAGAATTTCAGGAATTAAATGTCACATGCATATCGACCCACAGGCGGCAGCTCATTCGTCAAGTGGGTACGTGACGAAAGAGAATATGCTCCGTGGTCATATCCATTTTCTACGAGTTTGACAGATGATCGACTGTCAGTTAACAGAAACTTTAGAAAGATAACGCGTTGTCGAACAGCTAGCAATGGAAGCGGTGCCGAGATTGCCAATGATATCCTTCCAATTGAAAGTCAGCCCAGAGCCCACCACGTTCGGACCAAAGTTGAAGCAGGTATGAAACAGATAAAATACACACTCTGAATCGGTGATTTCACGACGATGAAATTTCACATTCAGATTGCGATTTAATATGAATATATTTGTATAAATTTATATTTTAAATTTAAATTGTCTATAAGTTTAAATTTCCCTTTTATAAAACGAACCTGGTGATTATTTGTTAATTGCTTGTTAATTATCATAATTGTCTGATCTTTGCTAATTGACTGCACAATTGTCTTTCGTTCCAGTATATACGTGACTTCTACAACAAAGATCCAGGAACATTTGCCCATGAAATACACCAGTTAGAAAGCTTGCGCGCAGTGGCCATAAGGCCACCTATCGACGTAGCTGGCTGTTCATTGTTGAAGAGATACTATTGCCAGTTACATTTCCTTCAAAGTAGATTCCCCATGGGAAAGGATGGTGCGGCGGCGATCACGTTCACATGGTAAACTAACTGTGATTAATGATTAATAGTTGTCGTCGGTATTGAAAGGTTGAACGCATTTGAATTTGAAACAGGAGGGACACGTATGCAAACATGGTTTGTTCACTGGCAAATATCCGCTTTGAAATAATTTCTATTTTGTATAATATCGGCGCGATGCATACTCAATTGGGAGCACTTACAGAGAGGACGTCGGCCGATGGGATGAAGATGGCCTGTGCTCACTTTCAGTGCGCGGCTTGGGCGTTTGAGCATTTAAAGAATAGCTACCCACAGCCGTCTGGTGTAGACTTAGCTCCGGAGCTTATGACATTTATGCACCAGCTTTGCTTAGCGCAAGCCCAGGAGTGTATATTAGAAAAAAGTATGCTCGACAATCGTAAACCAACAATCGTAGGTGAGTACGTGAGAAACAGGATTTCCACGGGTATGTTTCACCGTTTGTGGCCTTAATTCGTGTGTCATTCTACAAGATATATGTATCACGCAGCAAAAGTCGCCAGACAGATAGTGGATTATTTTAATCTGGCGTCAGCCACCCTTGAACAAGGTGGAAGCGAGGATGGAACGATATCAGACACGGTTGGAACTAAAATTTATAAGGTAAAATTTATCCTTGTTACTTATCAAGCTTGTCAAACTTGTGATTGTCATGAATGAAGTATTGTAAGCTTAAAAAGTATTTCCTTTTTTTTTTCAGAGCTGGAAGTATTACTTGAAATTCAAGAAAGCTTATCACTTAGCAGTCACATATTTGTATCAAGGATTAGCTGCCGAGGAGCAAAGGAAGATGGGAGAGAGGGTGGCATTTTACAATGCCGCGCTAGCTTCTCTGAACGAGGCGCAATTAATTTATTTGAATATTCCTGGTGAAAAGACAACCATCGAGGAAGCGCTCACGTTTACGAACGACGTGATAGAGGGAAAACGTAAAGCAGCTAAAAATGAAAATGAGTATATATATCACGAGGAAGTGCCAGAGAAGGAAACGTTACCCACCGTGAAAGGTGCTCCCTTGGTAAAAGGAATATCATTTAGTATCAACGATCCTGAAGTTTCCGGTCCTGATATATTTGCCAGATTAATACCAATGAAAGTGCACGAAGCGAGTTCTCTGTACTCGGAGGAAAAAGCGAAAATATTACGCTCCGTTGGTAGCAAAATCGAGGACAAGGATCAGCAACTCAATACGTACCTAACGTCCTTAAAACTGGAACATATGAATTTATGGGATCCTGATGTTCAAACAACGGAATGGGAACGTTTGCCTCTTCCTGATGAACTGGTTGAAAGATGCGCGGCGTTAAACGCTAAGCAACAGATTATCCAAGAGTTGCTCGATATAATGGAAAAATTATCAGACACTAGTCAAGATGTTGAGAAAATACTCAAAGAAATTAAAAAGCTTCTGCTTGAAGAAGAACAGAAGGAGAAAGAGTATCAAGAGATGGTCGGTAAGAGACCTCCGTCGATAGTCGCCACTGATTTGACCAGGGAAGCGAAAAAATATGAGGAGGCTCATAATAAAGCCTCGGAAAGTAACCACGCTCTTCATAAAGCAATAACGATGCACGTAAAAAATTTAAAGCTGCTTTCTCAGCCGCTTGCCGAGCTCATGGTCCACATACCTTCGCCGAGTGCATATCTTTCGGAACAAAATACTGAAAAATCCCATAGCGCGATCGAGCTGGAACGGATGCACACCAAGGAATTGAAGCGCATTTTGAACAAAGTCGACGAGATGCGTAGACAGAGGAATGAATTGCACACGAAACTACGAGACTCAATCGCCCAGGACGATTTAACGCGCTTGCTGGTTACAGCTACATCCGATTCCGGACCGTTGGATCGTTTGTTCGCCGATCAACTTAGTAAACATCAAACGCTAGTAACGTTGATCGAGCAGAATCTTGCCGCACAGGATAACATCCTGGCAGCTTTGACAGACGCGTACGCCCAAACTGCCAACGTGCGAAAAGGCGTCGAAGAAATATTAAAACGGCGAGAGCATACCATCTCGTCCTTGATCGCATCCTACGACGCTTACGAAGATCTATTGGCAAAGTCTAGCAAAGGTCTCGAGTTTTACAGAAAATTAGAAATAAACGTCTCGAAGTTACTTCAGAGGGTGAAAAGCACTTGCAAGGTGCAGGAAGAGGAACGTGAACAGATACTTGCGCAAGATAGCAATAAAAATTCTCAAGAAAAGATTGATGCAACGCTACCTGTCGGTTACGATCAAAGTCGAGGTCGAACTGGCAGTGGATTGAAATTGAAGGATTATTTGAACAGCAGGACGGAAAATGTCCAGAATCAGTATTACAATGTGTACAAGGATCAAGGTAAACAAGTGGTAGACGCAGCAGCGAAATCTTACTTGAATGATAATACAATGAACAAAAATGCAGTGCATCCTGGCGGAATAACTGTGGTAGATGCAAAATCTATGCAGCAGTATTATCCCGCGTCGTATACGGACTATAAAACAAATTTACCGTACTCGCATGAAATGTACAACGAAAATGCCGCTTTGAGCCAAAACTACATGCAAGTAAATAGTTCGGATACTGTAAATTATTCGCAAGTAATTGGAACGACAGCAGATGCCACAGCACAGTACCCAGTAAATTCTTTTGTATCACATGGGCAATTCTCTGCAACCTTAGACGGGCAACACAAATACTCTAGTAATGCGCAAACACTTTATAACTATTCTACCAACGCATTGCAATACGAAAACCAATACCAGCCTTCAGTTGAGTATACTGGATACAACATCACGCAACAGTATCCTTCTAATTTTGATAAGACTGCTAGTATTAGTGCTGCTAAAACCGAGATATCTCAAACATCGACAATAACGTCTGCATCCTTGTCGGATGTCGTTAACAAAACGACAGAGGTACAAGCACAACTTTATACCACTCCAGCTCAACAAGGACAACAGTATACGCCTGAGCCACAACAAAAATTTGCCACTCAGGAATCTGTCCCAACTATGAGTCAACACGTATTACCAGTGGACAGCACTCAAATGCAGAATTACGTTCTTTCTCAGATCAATCAGAGTGAAGTTCCATGTACTCAGAGTTACAGTGGCACAATGTATTACAATCCATCCGAGTTGCACGTCCAACAAGTCACATCGAATCAGAACACACCCGAGACGACTAATATCCCCGTTTCTAGCCACTATATGCAAACGCAGTACATGAACATAAACATTCCTCAGTCCGTTTATTCCACTAGTTCGTTAACTGTTCCAGTAAACAATACAGGGGCCTCGTACTCTTCAACTTTGCACAGTTCCAATGCTGTGCAGTATCCACAACAAAGTAGTACAGAGCAAACTAAGCAAATTTATACGGACCAAGGGTATCAGTATGGATCACAAGTATCGACTAGTGACATTACTTTAACTTATCCTAGTACTTATCACGGTTTGCAACATACCAGTAGCGTTTCCTATCCACAAACTATATTGTCTACGGACACTTCTAATACATATGCGTACACAAATAGTTCTACCAATACAGAAATGATTCAGAGCCATACAAAATCTTCAACAAGTGCACAACTGCAGAACTACTCGCAGGCATATCAATATCCGCAGCATTACTCTGGATATGGTAATTATTCTCACGGTTACAATCAAGGATATAATTACATGCAAGGAAATCAAATGACTACATCAATGACTGAATCTTATAAAGGACAAATGGAATATACTTATAATTCTACCAGCCAATGCTACGAATATAATCCCAGCAACGTTCAAACTTCATTGTCGATTCAAGTGTCGCAACAACCTTCCGAGTCGACGTTACAAATAAACACTGGTATTAACAACGTATGCCAACAACAAGAAAGTGCTGCAAGGTATACGAATGCCAGTAACAATTCTATGGTTAGTCAAACTCCATCCTCTCAATATTCAGGGCAGGCTTATCAGTCTCAAGGTGCAACCGATATTTATTACACTACACCGTATGGCCTCCAAATGCAAAATAGTCAAGGTATAATATCAAACTATCTTTCTGTTAACTTTATAAAATTTCTGTTGTATAATTTATCTTTATACACTTTATACAATTTAACTTCATAACTTTATAAAATTTATGAATGTTCAACATTTTCAGCATCCTCCAGCAGAAACGACAACTGTAACAATTATAATCAAACGTACATGCAAGCTGTTAACAATGGAACTAATACAACGACAAGCGCAAATCCTACTAAACCCACTACAATGTCGGAGCAGTCTAACGTGGACCTGCTTGCTGACCTTGAAGTCACTATAAATCATGCACCCTTGGTGCCGGAAGTACGTCCCGTCAGTAAAGGTCAAGCACAAGATGAAGCTGTGACAAAAGACGCGACGAAGGATGGTACGAAAGATGATGCTAGTGAAAGTGACAAAGAAAAGATAAATGAAACCACCGTTACCGAGGATAAGACGGAGAATGAGAATTTACAAATTGTATGGGATACGTGGTACAATGACGTGCAGCCTAAAAAGGATCCCTTAGGGGATCCAGCAGCATTGCAGAAGTTTATTAACGAGGTCGAAAAGTACGAGAAATTTGTCGATAGTTTGCTTGTTAAAACATTGAGCGGAGCAACTAATCTTGATATAAAATGGAAGGAAGTTCAAGAATTCGAAGTAAGATCGTCGAAATTATTTGTATACTGTGAAATATTACTCTAAGAGTCACGTTACGAGACAATGTATATTTCAATTTCAGGAAAGGGAAAGTGGAAAACAATCGTGTACAGTAGCGCTGGCTCATTCATCGGAGAATAGAGTAATGGAGTGTATTCCGTATGACACGACAAGGGTGCAAATATCGTCGACAGATATTCCAAATTACATTAATGCCTCTCATATAATGGAGATCACACAATGGATACCGACAGCATTTATTATCACTCAAGCACCATTGCCGGACAAGTTAGAAGTATTTTGGATGATGATATGGGAACAAGAAAGTGAAATAATTGCGTGTTTAATATCCGATGCGCAATTAAACGGAGAGATATATTGGCCTATAAATGAAGACGATATTCTAAACATCGGTAGCTTTACGATATCGTTAAAAAAGAGAGTCAACCACGTGTCTTATGTCCAAAGAGTTATTTCTGTGCATAATACTAAAAAAAACTCGGAAAAGACTGTCGTGCACATGCAATTTTTCACATGGCCTTCCAAGTACGTTCTTAACGTGAATAACATTATAACATTAAATCATTTGGATAATTTTTCTTTTTTTTTTTATTTTTCAGTGGTTTCCCTAATAGCCCAGGTGCTTTGCTTACTTTTTCAACGGACGTAATGACGGAACAAGCACTGAGACGTTGTACAAAGCCAGTGGTGGTGCATTGTTTGGATGGCGGAGCACTGAGTAGCTTATTCCTACTAGCAGCAGCAACAGTATGCCATATACGTGCAGGTTGCGGAATAGTTAATGTACCTCTTGTATTCAAAGGTCTTCTGAAGTGCCGCAAACAAGTTGTAAATAAGGAATCCTTGTTGTTCGCGTATCAGTTGGTATTATACCACGCTCAAGATATTTTAATGAAACGTAAGGACTGTTTTCGTCTCTGTTGATACGATACGAATTAACTGGAAGTAAAATGTTTTTTTTTTAACATTTAGGTGGAATTTTGTCGTCTACTCGCTCAACGTTTGAAAATTTCGAAGGATTAAAAGGAAATAAGGATAAAACATCGAGGAAGATGCATCCTTCTGATGATTTTCTACAAACTCTCGGTATCAGTACTCAGCGATCAGATGACCAAGGTATATCATGAAGTAGTATCTATTTACAAAGAACAATGCAATAACGTTGATTAAATTTAAATAGGTCGACAAAAAGGTCCTAGTGCTAGCAATGCAATACATTCAACTACGACGTCTATTCAAGAGAAACCTAAAGAAGGGATAATCGATCCGCTAAGCCAACTGGATCCTTTATGGTCTATCAGAAGATAATCAAATAGAAATTCGCAAGTAAAATTTTATTATGCACCGACTAATAAATCTGTTTGCATTCCTACGTTTCTTAAATTAACGATACTGCTAAAAGTAAGATAATTATAGTAATTGTATAAATATTGCAATTCGTATTAATTCATATAGACGACTTGATATTTCTGAAACGAAAAACACTTATTATCCAGGCGTTTCGTAATTCTTAAGTTTTAAGGGTTTTACAATCTGTAAAATATATCGAATAAAATGTACGTATAAAAAAAAGAAAAAGAACAAATGCTATCTGTTTGCATTTATTTTCAGCCTCGCCGGGAAATCACATATGTCCGTACACATCCATAAAACAAAAGCTGATATTAATTACACTTTTTAAGCAACATACGATACAAGGCATGCGTTTCTAAAACATATAGATGGTAAATCGGTACATATTTCTAATATACATACATACATATATGTATATATATATGCATGCATCACGATTCAAAATCACTTTATATCAACTGGTACTATTTTACATTGCATAATGCTACCCAAATCTTTTGAGTTTATACTATATATCATTTCGTTTATCAGAGAGTTCTTTTTTTAATATAACTTTATTTTCTGCGTGAACACATAATTAATGGCGTACAAAATAAATCTTTATTACTATTAATTTTCAGTGAATATAACAAAATTACTTTTTATTAAATTTATTAAATTTACTTTATTAAATGTAATTATTTTGTGTGTATGTAGGAAGCAGTTACGAAGATGATCATTACCTTTGAACACAGAAACCATTTAATAATTTAACATAAACGAGTCTATAAGAATATTCAATTTGATAAACTATATTCTGAATACATACGTATATGTATACGTTCTTTAAATTACAGATAATAAATTCTTATAAATGCTACTGAAATAAATATACTGCTCGATTCGTTTCAATTAGTACGAAGATTACTTCCAAAATGTAGTAAATCGATGTAATTGTATTTGCTAAAATAATATATGTAATGAGGCCTAAATATGTCTTAATGCCGTATTGATGTCTCATAGACAATCATAGAACTTACAAGCAAATGAAATTATGAAATGGTAAATATCTTTGTCATTAGTTTATATTTTTTTTTTTCTAAATTCCCCTGTTTCTTAAATCTTTCACTTTATAAATTCGTACAAGCCAATGTTCAGTAGTGTAGGCTTCTTCTAACATGTCTAGTTCAAAATCTTTATTACCAATTTCCATATTTCTAACTCTATCGTATCCAGAAGGTTTACCTATTTAATCACAAAATTATTTTAAAATACTATAAATCACAAATAAATTATATTCATTATATTCATAGCGGCGAACTTACCTCCTTCCGTATAAACTTGACCAAATCTGTAATAACACATTTTATACATAAGACAATTGAGCAAAATCGGAGAACCTTCTTTGTCAACTCGGAATTCTCCCGCAGAGTTGTAGTAATCCCATTCTGTTATGGATTTTCCTTTTTCGGTGCTTCCGCCGATGCGCACCATCCATAGGAACTTATTAATGTCTGAAATCATAATCGAACATGTTCTTAACCGATTTTAAATTGTAGCTTTATTCTTTTCATATGTTAATATACCATCCGACGAATAGCCCGTAAGTCCTCCAAAAATAACCAGAACATAATTAACATCTAATTCTCTCATTATTTCGTAAGCTTTTTCCTCAGAACTTGCCATTGCCTGACCAACCCTTGATATGTGAGTATTGTTCCATGTATTATTGTCTACTAAAATCGTACGGTTCGCCATTGCCGTTATTTGGTATCCATAATCCCACCAAGACATTACTTTGGCATTCTACAATTAATAAACGCAGTCTTAAACGTAGTCATAAACAACCTTATACAGAAAAATTATTTAGAGAATGTTATAAAATTACTTCTGGTGTGTTCATGCGCAACCAATAGTAGGCTTCTCTAAAATCGTCAAAAATCATGCGACTACCGTCTGGAGAACGCGCCGACAACACGATACTAGGCGAACTGTAAGCCTCTGCTGTAACCCACGTACAGTGAATGGTGTACGAAAAGAAGAGAATACACATTACTGTTATAAAGAGTGTTGCTATCTGCAAATTGACACATCAATGTAACATTTTAACAAAAAATTGAATTTAAAAATACGTGATAAATGTGGTTACCTCGCTCCTGAGTATGTAATTACTTTCAAACTTCTTTGCCTTCTTATCTGTAACTTTCCCTCTTTCCACTTGTTTCATGTAAGTGACAAGTAACGAGGAAGCTCCAATACCACCCAGAATACACATTACTGGAGCAAGAACTAGCATTAATCGGACCATTACACCCTGCGTAAAACATATTGTTGACGTTTGAATTTGCTTTCGTCATAAATTTTTAACGAAAATCTTTTTTTACTCACGGCAAAGTACAGACTTGTAACACCATACAAAATGAGAAAAATATTCGAATCTGTCAATTTTGAGAAACAGAAGTATAAACCCGACGGAAACAGGAATACTAAAATTTGGAGATCAAAGTAAAAAGAACTCCACGATGTTGGCTGATGCTCCGAAACGGACGCAATTATCGGTATGTGATTCTTCGCATAGGACGGGTCCAAAAGAGAGTAAAAACGACCAGTCCATGGAGATATTTTTCCTTAAAATTTAAGAGACAATCCAGAGAGAAATTAATATATATTTTCTATGATTTAAGAAATTATTATTATTATTATATATATATATACCTGTAATAGTTAAAATGACACCTAGTACAAACGAAATAGTAACTATAGAAATAACAAGACCACGGAACAATATTTCAAAGTCATCCTGTGACATTTTACTACGCAGATAATCAACCAGAGCATGAATTTGGCAAAGTCCAAAAACTCCCAATGCCTGTACAAAATATAAATCAGTTTTATTTAGAATATTCTCTTTGTAAAATTAATATGTAATATACTTTATACTTACAAGCATATGTTCAGAGCTCTGCACAGGTTGGAAACCAACAAAGGATATTTGCATGGATAAAATTGTCCCTAAGCAGTACAGAATACTGTACGCAATGTATATTCTATGAGAAAATCTGCCAGTCACCATTAAGGTTAACACATGCAAAGGAATCAAATTAATCAGGAATACGTAGCCGCCCCAAGAAGACACCATATAAAAATATGCAAGAGCAGCACAGGTTGCCCAACAAATTGCACCAGTTTTAACTGCTTTGATCCACATGTAATATGTAAATAACATACAAAAAATAGCTATGCCTTCATTATCATAAGATCCTGCCACTGATCGTGATATATAACCAGGAACAATTGCTATCATAGCTGCGGCGAACAATCCCGACGCAGAATCCTTAAAATCACATATATCGTCGATTTATCATATTAAATAAATATCATATAAAAAAAATATCAAGCATATTTAACATATTTCTACCTTCAGCTCTTTGGTAAGTAAATAAGTAATAATTGTCGTCAAACTAGAAAACAATGGAGCAAGGAAGACGCAAATAGTACGTATATCTAAGGTAATGTTTAGTAACCATGAAAGGCGGTATAACGCTGCTGATGTTATCATCAATCCAGGATATATCGTCCCTGAAATAGTTAAATTTTAACCATATAGATCGATTAAAAATCATAAGTAAGACAACGTACCTCCAATTATCCTCCCAAGAGGGTACCAAACACGATCGTCGAACCAATTGTGAAAACTATAAAACCCATTCTCTGCTAGGTACTTTGTTGTGCGATAATTAAAATATGGATCAAACTCGTGGATGACACTTTCGAATCTCAAGACAGAGAACAATCTTGTTGCAAAAGCTATAAACGAAAGAGACTGTACTCTTGAGGACATTCCAAAAGTTTTCCCCGCTCTTGTACTAATTTGAGAAACTTACACAGAATCGCTGCAAGAGATAACACAGTTAACTTCAAAAGGGTCTCCTGCTTCTGTGCAGACATACGCAGACCTCTCGTTTTCATCAACACAGCCATATCGACGGGGCTATGGAAATTCTGCTCTCTCAAGTAATTGAAGCACCAGTTTCATATAATTTACCTGCGAAAAAAAAAAAAAAAAAATTGAAAATATATCATATATTCACGTCACACTTGTTCGTCCACGATAAAAAAAACTACAGTTGTCTCGCATGCGAGGAGCAGTTAAATATCTAAAAAAAGAAAACAAAAATATCGTGAGTTGAAATGAAACAAAAGCTGCGAAAGGAAGCCGCGTGGGGTGTGTGTCACTGTCACCAATAGGTTATGTCACCTGACGAAAGCGTGAAACAAATGTTGTCAGGCGTATAACTAATGAACGTGTCGTTTCAACGAAAACGTAACGATCTCATGCTGGACAGGCAGGCTACGTGAGCTTGATCAACTAAGCTTCTCTCTTACGAATCGACCACGTACACAAAATTACCGGCCGGCGACATATGTGTATCTTATATCACGTGTCTGATTGTTCCGCATCGTACATTTACGTAGTCTTATGTGTGTTGCGTGAACCGTGATGTGAACTTACGAGCTTACGAGCTTGGCAATGCAACGAAATCAACAAAACAACAGTGTCATTTAAATTGCTAACTGAGAAAACATTGCTACTCGAAAGAAAAAAGCATAGACCAATGTCGGTCTGCTAGTTGCGTCACTCACTATCGACATCGAGTCGAGCGAGTTATTCGAGAAAATGGCGCGCGTTGTAAAAATGATGCACAGAAAAATTGTACTTCGTTGATTAAAATATCGATCCCCGTAGGTTGAACATCGAATGTCAAATTTTTAAATAAAAAATAATTTTTAATTGAAATTTTAACAAATTTCAGCGAATTTAACGCAACCTGATTTTTTTTTTTAGAAATGAAATGTAGTCTGCAGTAACTGCGCATCTACGTACTAGTTATTCCATGGTTTATGATTATCAATGGGTCCGCTGTTCCCGCCAGAGGACCGGTATTTGTATTATGTTGCACAAGATTTCTTTTTTCCTATTATATGCATTTAAGTACTATACTTTATACCAGATTTTTGTTTTTACAACGTTCTACTTACTGTGAAGGGAAAAAATGACCGAAGGTAAGCTTTAATTTGTATAAGTCGTGCATGTTTTTAACTGAGGTTAGGAAAATTTAACCTGTTATTGTGTGACCGGTGAATATTTGAATGATATTCACTTGAATATAATGCAATCATTCACACGTTTCAGTATTGCATCGCAGTATCGCATAGTTTCAGAAAAATATTTTCAATTTCTTTTCATTTTTTTACATCACTCTATGTGATTGTGTCAATCATTAACAAAAAATTGTATTGCAAACTTTTCAGAGAAAGTAAACACCGAAGATATGTGGACTCCTTACAAGGAACTCCAGAGTCTCGTGGAACGCTACATCACTTCATCGCCATCAACTCACGACCTTCAGTACCATGAATTTAACGAGGCCTTACGTAATCACAAGCAGAATTTTTTAACTCTTCTAAAAAATCCAGTAAGTGGATTGTACAACATTGAGTATCTAAGATCACGAAAAGCAATGAAAATGTTATTAAATTTTCATTTCATTCACAGTTAAAGTTATATTTTGTCGTAGCCTCCAAATGTAAACAGCAGGGAGGAAATAACAAAAGGTGCTACAGATGGTATTACACTCCCTGGCTTGGGTCATCAGTTATTGTCAAAGGAATTGGTTGACGAAACCCTCATTATATCGGACATGTATGAGCTCAATGAATTCATGGCGTTGGATCTTCTATGCACTGCCCAACTGCAAATGCCTCACCATCCTGGTTTACCGAGAGGATTAACAGCTATTTTATTGTATTATGATGGAAAGAAAGCGCTCACGTCAACCTTGAGGATGCTAATACAAGCAAGAATGGGACACAGTTGGAACATTGATGCTCCAATTGCTCTTCTAAGACACATTACGGAATATACGAATAAATTGCAGGAGGACGGTTTATTAGATAGGATTCTATCGCTGTTGGAGAAGATGGATCCTGTGAAAGAGCAGGAACTGTTAGAAAAAAATCGAGCGTTAGGCGGATCGAAGCATCGGTACATGGTCATGAAACTCTACAACGATTCTAGGCAGGATTTGGCAGACATACTATATTTGTGGTCCGCACAATCCTCATTGCCAAATTCAATCTTATTTCGCCTGTTAACATTCTTGCAAACAAAACAAATTGAGCCGGAAGCGTACGAAAATGGTGTGGATAAAGTTACGCTTGCCATTATAATGAGTGTGTTGAATGCAATCAATTTTAGTTCGTTACATAGTCACGAGAATGGCGAAGGTATGCTTTCTCATCAAGCGTCAATATAATTTTTATGTTATTACTCATGTAATCTTGCTGTTTCTTTTCAGAATTGATCAATTCCATGCCACTGATCGCGGAAAGAGGAGCGCACTACGAACTATATCAAAAATTAATATCGATGAACATCAACTGGGAGTGTGCCAAATTACACGGGCTTGTACAATTCGCGTTTGCAGTTGCTCTCACAACGATAAAGGGCACGGCTGGTGTGCAGGTTTTACCGAATATCGCTACCGAGGACGAAAGACTGCTGGAAGCAGCTTTGACGAACAAATGCTTTCACTTCATGGCTGAAATATTATTTAAGAACAAGACTATATACTACGAGGAATTCTATCTCCGTTATTTCCATTCTCTCATCTCCGATTTTATATTCCTGATGCCTTTAAAAGTCAAGGATCTGCGGAGTCGCGTGGACGAGTCTATGCGTTTGATTCAGGCATACCAACAGGAGGGTATCGAACCACCCTTGAACCTAGACAATCATTTTGAATATCTAATGTTGACAGTGGCAGAATTGTACAAAGAAGACCCTTTGAAACTGGAACTGGTTATGCAATACTGGTGTCATCACTCTGGCCACGACTCTACGCACACGTCCGCTCCTACGTACATTAATCGTTTGCCATCTAGACAAGTCGCTCTATTTAAATTCGTGCGTCTCGCCGGCGAGATATTACCAGCAGGATTATTCGTTCCATATCTTAAAATGATCGCGTCCCTTGCATCTTCTCCGCAAGCGGCGCGACAAGCATTCAATTTTCTCAAGCCAAACGGTAAGTGATTTTCTTTTTTTTTTTTTTTTTTTTTTTTAAATTTTTAAAAAAAAATATTTTTTAAAAAAAAAAAAAAAAAAAAAAAAAAAAAAAAAAAAAAATACGAAGACCACAGCATGGAGTTAAGTGAAATTTAGACGAAAGNGCATCGACAAGATACATAATAATGCGTTCTCTGTTCTCTCCGTGTTGTGAAATACGAGTCCAATTTTCTTTTTTTTTTTTTTTTTTTTTTTTTTTTTTTTTTTTTTTAAATATCGCAATGAAAACTAAAAAAAGAAGCAATCCGCAGGTTCTTCAGTATCGACGACAATTTCCTGGGATCACTTTTTCAAATCTTTGAGCCAATACTATGACAATCTCAGGAAGGAATTGCCTCCCAGTCAGGATACTGTTTACCGGCAAAGAAGCCATCCGAAAGGCATCACGCCCGAGGAGGTGAAAGGTCTGGAGGCAGTGTTGCTGGTTGTTCAGGTGATCGCGAAGAACGACGAGATATCAAGAATAGCGATATGCGACCATCCAGGGTGGAAAGTATTGCCGTCTTTGATCGGTCTAGTCAGCTGCGGTATATCGATCCCGTTGAAGAGCGTTTTAATACGAACGCTTGCCGCGTTGGCCAGATCGCCGGAGAGCTCGTCCACCGTGTGGCAAAGTTTGGAAGCTGCCCAGATACTTTCGACCATACCGACGATAAGCAGCTATCAGCCGAGAGGGGTTCAGACCGAATTAGAGGAGATCGAGTCGAAGAAGGACGAATATCCACTGACACGAGCGATGCTGGAACTTCTAGACGTTCTCACGGACTTCCCCGTGTTACGATTGCTGGGGATGGGCCAGCGTAATCCGGGTTTCGATCCGTATCTGCATTTCATCATCAACACCGTCTTCCTGAAGTTTCACACGCGGTCGTACAAGAATCCTGGCGAAAAGTGGGAAGTTGCCGAGGCTTGTTTGAAAATATTCTCGAAGCTCATCAAGCAGTACGAGCCGGCTGTCGAAGACTTCGTCGGATGCAAGGTGGAGCTCCAAAGCGGCGAAGTTACGATAGTTAACTCCGCCCCTGGCTATCACATAATGACGCAGTTGCACTCGAAATCCGAGTTGCTTCACGTTATACTGTACATCCTCGACAAAGGTTGCAGCCACTTCGACACGTACGAACAATTCCCTGGTAAGAAGAACCTCGAGAATTGCACGTTGTACTGTTTGGAGATACTGGAAAGGGGATTGAAGACCCAGCACAACTACATGGCTCAGTTGGCCGCTACGAAATCGATCCACAAAATTCTGACCGGGCTGTCGAGGTTGCTCCTGGAGGTAGACCCACAGTCGAAGAAGCCTGATTACATGATCAACGTCGCCAAGTACGTCTCGTACTGTTCTTGGCTCTCGCAGCACGCGTTCCACGCTGTCGGCGTGATCCACGAGGTGACCAACGAGCCAGGAGCTGACTCCGAGTTACTTTCCACCTTTACAGCCACGCCCGCTCTGTCCACGAACATCAGACATGGTTTCGTCGAGTGCTTGGACGCGGACACGACGTTCGACGAAGACGCGGAGAGCGAGAAACAGTACACCGGCAACTGCAAGGAACGAATTCTACTTCTGATGATGCAGAGTATCGTACGACCTACGCCGAACCTCTCTCACTACCTGCTAGGATTCGAGATCACCAAAGACATCAGGAAAACCGTCTTGCAACAGCCTGGCATTCTGGGCTTTCCACGAACCTGCCTGCACTCGATACTAGGAATTTTAGAGCAGTCCCTCGAGCGCGGCCGCGACAAGATAACCGAAGCCTGCTACTGTTTCCTCCACACGTTGGCTGCGAACAACAAGACGTCCGTCCCGGTGCTGAGATTCCTGCGGGCCAGCGTGAACCAAGACTTCGTGCAGAGGCATCTCTCGAAGTTGCCATTCGAGGGACAGAACAAGGCGACAGAGCTCGGTTGCATGTCCTGGTTGTTGAAAATAGCGGCGATCGAGCTGCGGGTCGCCGGCGGTAGCTTGCAGAATTCTCTGGTTCAGCGGCTGGTTGGGAACTTTGGCCAAGAGATGGGGCAAATCGTGCCTTCGCAGAAACTGCTGATGGACCTTCTGCACTACACCGAGTTTCAACTTCAGCTGGAGTCGCCATTATCACTGGACTTCTTCGACCCGTCGCAGGTCGAGATGGCCCTGGGACGGTGTAGCACTCCGGTGACGTTGATAGGTGGTCCCCGGCTCATAGACATAAGGAAACTGCATTCCCTCATCACGGAAGAGCTGGCCGTCACTCAGAGAAGCGCCACCGCCACCCAACGCAATCTCATGCAGCAAGAGGTGCAGAAGATTCTGATGTACGCTTTGAAGAAGAATCAGACGAAACTGTTGTCTTACGCGACGGTGAAGTTCGTCGAGGGCTGGTGCCAAACGACGGAGATATTGTTCTGCGTCGCGACGAATCAACAGCTACCTACGCCGCAGAAGCAGAACCTGCTGCTGAACCTGTCTCACGATCTGTTGCAGAAGATGACGACCTGCGAGGCGTTGAACGAGATCAAAACCCTGGTGTCCGGGACGGTTCTAATGTTGCTGGTGCATTTGCGGAACAGTTTCCTCACGCAAACGGACGGCGAGTCGTTCCCCTCGTCGCCCTCGAACGCAACGATGATGAAGATCATCCTGAGCCACATACTGCAGTGGATCCTGAACGCGGGTGCCTCCTCGCAGAAAGTAATAACCCACTTGTACGCAGCGTTGCTGAATTTCCTCTGCGTTGTTGGCTTGGAGAAGTCGGAGAGCACGAACATCATCGACTTGATGTACGTCAGCCAGTTGGACAGCTCGGTGAACAGGGTGATGCCTGTTCAAGAACGGTCCCATCGATACGCGACGATACAGGTAATAAACAGCTTTGGAAACAAACTGATGGACATTCTCTGTCACAATTGCTCGGGCGGTCACGACGTCTGCAAAATGTTGGCGCTATCTTGCCTGGATAAAATCTTGGAGCTGGATCACGACAACGCTTGGATCATCTATCTGGCCAGCCGTGGTTACCTGAAGCACATGATAGACAGCCTCCTGGAGTCTGACAACATGCTACGGTGTATGCTGCAGCCGGAGCCTCAGACGCTGCGGCCGTTGTACCTGTACGAAGCGAAAATGGCCACGTTCTGTAGAATGGCGTCCACGAGATTAGGTGCGGAGAGTCTCCTGGAGAACAAGATCCTGTCGTGCATGTCCAACATGCTCGTCTTCGACCGGCATCCAGACGTTCACATAGCGTTCGAAGGTGGCGATTACTCGTTCATACCGTCGATTGGCCAGCGTTATCAGCAGATCTTCCTGCCGGCTTTGTACCTCTGCGACGCCCTGCTCACCACCCTCGGAACGGAGAACCAGTCGTGCGCCATACAAGTGTGTAGCTTCTTGCAAAGTCACGGCGACATTGTCAAGATTGTTCTGCAGAACGCTTTCTCGAAGGCGAACACGCTCTTTCTGAAGGAAATCGCCTGTCTCACCGGCGTCATATCCCGATCGGCGAACGTCGACATGTACAAACTAGTGGACGAGGAACTGGCAAAGTCCGAGTTCGACAACTGCAAGCTGGGGGACGTTGGCGGCATGAGAGAGCTCCGTGCTTATTTGTACGAATTGCAGAGACTGATGCTGTCGTTGTTGTACAAATTTCAGTTGCAGCCGGCACCCGTTCGCCTCAGCCACGAGCAAACCGAGGCGAATCAGCAGCACACTTCCTGCGTGCAGATCGTTGCGAATATCATGCTGTACACGCGCAATCAGATGCAGCACAGCCGAATGGATCAAAAGATAAGGAACATACTGTTCGAGCCTCATCTGACCTTGAAGCCAGGAGGGAGGGAAGACAGAATGAAGAATGTATCTGGCGGGGTGCATCTGGGAACCATCGTTGACCAACTCGTGTCTGTTACGAATTTACTGCACGCGGAGTTGCCCCACATCGACACTCTCATCAGTAAATCGGCCGTAATTGGGGAGATGAGTACCGCAGAGTTGAAGGAGTACATGTCCGACGAGGAAGCGGAACTCGACGTGCAAAAGCAACGAGTAATAGTGGAGCAACGACTGAATCGCTGGGTGAAGGAAAAGCGTCAGACTATAAAGTATTGTTCGTTGATAATAGAACACGCGTTGTACATTCTTTGGAGCCATTTGGATTTCTATATGATACAAGTGATGTCGCGGTACAGACGAATGCGAGGTAATGTTTACACCTCTAGTTAACGCTACAAACAACGAGTGAAATCAGCTAATGTTCTTCTTTTCTCTTTTTCAGCGAGCATAGATGAGGATATGGTTGCGTGGAAGGCATCGTCAGAAACTTTGATGGATTTGAAGCAAGGCCTCGTTTCTACGTTTACGGACAGCTTTGTCACACAGTTACTGGATACGCATAACGAATATGCAAAAAGTATGTTGGATCACAGCTTTGTAGAGGCTCTTGTCAGAAGGATCAAAAGGCTGTTGCAGTTTATAATTGTACAGTAACGCGTCTGTAACTTTGAAATGTACAACATATTTTTTTACCGTGTATTACAACCGCCAAAACTCTCAGCAACAGTATTTATTACAACAATTGGATAGACAAAGATTTTTCAGCAAATGATTTCTATACAAATACGATTTATTTTAAATTGTCAATTAACATTCTCGAATTGTGATTGAACGTTTTTATAAAATTGTTGGCACATATTACATATGTATTATTTTGAGTTATCTGTTATAAGTACAGTAAATATATAAAATATATTTCCATAATTACGTTCCGTTGCTATGTTAATTGTGCTGTGTATTAATAATAAATTAAATATCCAAGTATTTACAACATTCCATTTCTTCAATTGAGGATGTTAGAACAAACAGAAGGAAATGGACCGAGCGTTTTCTAAGAAGTAATGACAGCCTCGTCCCATGGTCCATAAATATTGTCCTTGTACTTCTGGCATCTTACATACCAATAAGGACAAACAAAATGTAAGAACACTATAGTTGCAACAAATACATAGGACAAAGTTTGCGAAACCAATAGGAGAAAGTACAGTGTGCTTAATGTTAAGAAACCTGACATCAGTAACTTGCTGCTTAATTTATATATCAGAAATGGCAACAGAACGAAACACTGAACAGAAACTGTAAGGAGAGAGAAAGCATGCAGCGGTGATGCTAATCTGGACGCTAACATCAAGGAGCCAAATATCGAGGACGTTATGGACAATGAATCGGACAGCGAGATCTGCAACGGACCGTACTTGCTGAATATCAAATGTACCAGAAACATTAGTATTGTCATGGCATAAATCGTGTCCGTGCTGATGGTCTCGGTCAAGGTTTTTAAAACAGGTGACAGGATATACCCGAACGTAAGGAAGATCAGCACAGTTCTAATGTGTTTTGTAAACTCTGTCAGGATACTCGGCTCTTTCAAACAGTATAGGAAGTAACCGATTATTGTGTGTATCACACCGAGTATGAATACGACATTGGGACTGGCCCATTCGTTGTACAACCAAATAAATATAATGACAAAAAGGATGACGATATTCAGTTGAATGCATACAGTGCCGCCAAAAGTTATTGCTTCGATTAATGTCACGTTGTTCAGTTTGATATTTCTGCGTAATTGCTCCAAGAACGAACTGTCCGTGTAATTGTCCGGCAGCCCATAATTTTCATACAAGTTCTTCTGCCATTGTAGCCCTACAGTCATAGTGTGTTCTGTTATTTAATTTTTGTACAAAACAGTGGAGCGTTTGATTCTCATCATTCAAATAACAAGTCCTAAGTCTCGGTGTTGTCACGAGAGGATAGTCAAACTCTTGTGCATCTTTCGTAACTCGTGTTGTTCCTGTCGGATTTTTGTTTCTCGCATAACGTGCTGGAAAGGAAATAAAGATGGCTCGAATTAATTCTAAAAACACGTTTCGTCGTTGTTCCGCATAAACGACGAGTGTAATTGCCGAACATTACGACTATCAAGCCATACCTTTTGATGAAAAGAGGTTACTGAGAAACGCAAATTGCGGCAGTCACTGAAATCCGTAAGATCGGATAAAAAAATATGTATCTCTACCCGAGTAACAGTCTTAATTATCACTAGTTTGAATTGCCCAATCGCCGATCGAATTAAATCTACGATATAACTGATATTATTACGAACGATCGGTTTCCCTCTGTGCTGTTTATTTTCCACGAAGTAACCAAAACAGTATTGCCGCAGATGTTAGTTTTGTACAATGAAGAAGTGCGTGGCAGAGATGTGATTGAATTTGGAATAATTCAAATGTGATCTCTATTTTAAATGGAATGCTTAGATGTGTGTATGTAGGTAAATGAATTATTGTTTTATGTATGTGAAAGATATAATATTAATAACGTGTATGGCCTATTTTGTAATGTTCCAGAACAAAGTTGTTAAACGTTTCATAGGTAGTACAAAATAATAGTAAATAATAGTAAAAATGCAGAAATTCAAACAAGCTGAAGCAGAAAATAAACTAGCAATTAGCAAGCATTTAGAAGCAAATGCCTATTTGGAATCCTCCAGTGAGGATGAAGATGACAGAAGCAAGGAGAATATGCAAAATGTTATTGGAAAGATACTGTCCGCCTATCAAGGCGAGGAGGCAGATGCAGAAAAGATTTTGTCATATTTGATTAATATCTTCCAATCTGGCAATGCTGTTTGTTTAATATGTATCTCGACTGTGAAAAAAACAGATCCGGTATGTTCTTCTAAAGCTGTGTAAACTCACATAAACTTTGTACAAAGTTTGCCATTTCATAAAATATGTCTCAGTCAATTCGTGTTAATATTATAGATTTGGAATTGCAACAAATGTTTTGCTTTTCTACATCTGTCTTGTATTTCGCGTTGGATACAGGATAGTGTAAATGTTAAACGTGAGAAGGGTATCGAGCCAACATGGGCGTGGTAAGAAATTTTTCAAAAATGTATTGCTACTTTAATGATATTTGAATACTACATATAAACATGTTTTAGTCCAAAATGTCGTATGGAATACAAGGAAGATGACAGTCCTCGTAAGTATAAGTGCTTCTGCAAAAAAACCATAGATCCTCTATACAGCCCATGGAACATCCCTCATTCCTGTGGAGAGACATGCGACAAACTGTTGCAACCAGAGTGCGGTCATAAATGTGTTTTACTTTGTCATCCTGGGCCATGTCCTCCCTGCGCAAAGACAGTATCCTTTAAATGCTACTGTGGCAAACAAGCACCTCAACAACGACGATGTAACGCCAAAAATTGGAGCTGCGGCACTGTATGTAACAAAAAGTATGAATCATGTTCGCACACTTGTAAAGAAGTGTGTCATTCAGGGAAGTGCCCACCTTGTTCAGAGATATTGTCGTTAGAATGCCACTGCAAGAGTAACAAGGAATTAAAGCAATGCTCAGAAGGTCCATGGACGTGCGACAAACCTTGTGGCAGAACTTTCTCTTGCAATGTTCACACCTGCGAAGGTAAATGCCATTTAGACGACGACTGCGGAATCTGTCCACTGGAGAAAAACAGAACATGTCCATGTGGAAAGAAACGTTACGCCGTTTCATGCAACCAGGAACAATTACCAACGTGCGGAGACACATGTGGAAAGTTATTGAATTGCGGCTCGCATTACTGCAGTATGAGATGTCATACGGATCGTTGTGGACAGTGTGTGGAAGTAGTCACAAAGTGGTGTAGATGCGGCAGTTACAAAAAGGAGGTCGCTTGTGGCAAAGAGTTCCATTGCAACAAAAAATGCGTGCAGATGCGTTTGTGCGGAAGGCATTCCTGCAACAAAAAATGCTGCGACTGTTTGATCAAGAATACGTACAATGTTTGCGAGAAAGTATGCGACAACACTCTAAATTGTCGCAAGCACAAATGTGCCGCCCCTTGTCACAGCGGTCCCTGTTACCCGTGCGCACGAACCGACGTTATTCAATGTAGATGCGGACACAGCAAAATAACGGTGCCGTGTGGTACGAAAAGAATCAAGCCGCCACCTTGCAACAGGCCGTGCAAAATACCGCCGATCTGCCATCACCTTAAACGAGAAACTCATAAATGTCACCACGGCTACTGTCCGCCCTGCAAAAAGACATGTGACTTGGTATACAAACGATGTGGTCATTCTTGTGTGGCTGTTTGTCATACAAAAGTTTGGATGAAGGTAAGCAAAAGTGACGTGAAGGTACAACCAACAGGGCCGTGGGATATTCAGAAGGAAATTATGCAGTTGAAAACGTTGCCATGTCCGCCGTGTAAAGTCTCTGTGCCAATTACATGCTTAGGAGGACACGAGACACGTCCGTGGGCCTGTCACGAGGCCAAGCCTACCTCCTGTGGGAGATTGTGTGGAAGAATGTTACCGTGCAAAAATCACACGTGCGAATTGATTTGTCATAAAGTACCGTCTTCCGAAGAAACTAGGAATGGCATTCCGTGTATGGACTGTGAGAGTTCCTGTCTACTTCCACGGCCGGCAGGTTGCATTCATTTATGCCCCAAACTTTGTCATCCCGCGCCGTGTAATCCCTGCAAGCAGATAGTTAAAACTTCGTGTCACTGCGGCATAAGTACCATATATCGTAGATGCTTCGAATTAACGTCGGCCACAGCTGAGAAACGCAATGAATTGCTCAAGTGTGGGAATCAGTGCCCTAAAAATGTAACTAAATACTTAGATAAATATCAACTAGTAGTAATAGTCTAATTTTAAATATCCACGTTTTAATTGGTCACAATTTCGGTTTTAGTATCCATGTGGACATCGATGCGCCAACGAGTGTCACCCAGGACCGTGTAAAAATGAGAAGGAGTGCAGCAAGAAGATGAAGTTGTTTTGCGAGTGCAGACGGATTAAGAAAGAATTTATTTGCTCTGTGGTGCAGAAGGAGGGAATTTCGATAAAGTGCGACGATGTTTGCACGAGACTGAAGAACGAAAGACGCCAGGCCGAAGCTGCCTTGCTGGAGCAAAAACGGCGAGCGGAGGAGATGCGCAATCAACAAGAGATAGAAAAGTTCGAGCGAAAGTTCAAACCCCGTCGTAAGGGGAAAGATAAATCCGACAAGAAAATGTCGCAGAACGAGATGCGCGGTAACTGCTGGAAATATTGGATTTTAGGTGTCTTGATATGTTTAATAGGCGTTGTAATATTTTATGCAACCATGGGACAGTCGTGAAAACTTTAAACTTCATGCCCGCGACGTTTCCTAGTCGCTGTAATGAACGCTAGGCTATATTTTTAATTTAGTTATTTTAAATTGTTTTATCGACCAGCGTGAGACAGTGCTTCGGTCTTTCGAATCTTTGTCGCAATATCTGTATCTCTGTGCCATAGTGTCGCTAGGTCCAAAGAGTTTTCAATTACATGTACATATTTTGTAAATTTCTACATTGTACGTCTAACGCTCAGCAAAAACTGCGAGGAAATGCTGTATTATTTTGACACGGAATAATATGTCAATATCGTATGTCGTTGTAACGTACGATAATAATCAAAACATCTAAGATTACTTACTTGTAGTTTATCTTCCTTTAGCCCGCCAACTGATTCAAAACGTGACCACCTCTGAGGTGCCATCTAGCTTCGAGAAATCACTACTTGAGAGGTTAGTTTGCGTTTCAAAAATTTTGTTTGTGTTTACACGGAGGAAAAGAAAAATATAAAAATGGCGGTTCCGTCAGTTTCGCTATCAACGAGAAACAAAAAACACTTCCTGGGTGTTCCAGCACCCTTGGGATATGTTGCTGGCGTTGGAAGAGGGTAATGTGTAAAAAGCAATGTTATTCAGCTAACCTAACCTTCTTTAATGAAACAGAATATTAATATACGGCGTTAATGCCTTATCTTTTAGAGCTACTGGATTCACAACCAGATCTGACATTGGTCCAGCTCGCGATGCCAACGATGTTTCGTAAGTAATTGCATTACGTTCAATTTTTTTCATCAAACTTAATTAACACTTGGTACCAAGTTTCATTAACATTGTTTCATAAACGTTTAGGGATGACAGACACGCTCCGCCTACGAAAAGGACAAAGAAGAAAGAAGAGGAGGAAGAAGACGAGGAAGATTTGAACGATTCTAATTACGATGAATTTTCCGGATATGGAGGATCTCTGTTCAGCAAAGTAGGAATAAGGAATAGAGACTGGTATTAAACGATTGTAATTGCGCAGTTCAATTGAATCATATTGAATCATCAAACACTCTGTAGGATCCTTATGACAAAGACGATGAAGAGGCCGATGCTATTTACGAGGCAATTGACAAACGAATGGATGAAAAGCGCAAAGAATACAGGGAAAAGAGGCTGAGAGAAGAGTTGGAAAGGTATCGTCAAGAACGTCCTAAAATTCAGCAACAGTTCTCAGACTTGAAGAGGGAATTGGTAAATGTAACCGAGGAAGAATGGAAAAATGTTCCAGAAGTTGGCGACGCTAGAAATAGGAAGCAACGAAATCCTCGGGCAGAGAAGTTCACGCCACTGCCGGACTCGGTTCTCGCGCGGAACTTGGGAGGCGAAACGTCAACCAGCATAGATCCGTCGAGTGGTTTGGCGTCGATGATGCCAGGTGTGGCAACACCTGGGATGTTGACGCCGACAGGAGACTTAGATTTAAGAAAAATTGGTCAGGCTAGAAACACTTTAATGAACGTTAAATTGAATCAGGTCTCCGACTCTGTCGAAGGACAGACTGTCGTAGATCCCAAAGGTTATCTTACCGACTTGCAGAGTATGATACCAACGTACGGCGGTGACATCAAGTAAGTGAAACGTATCTCAATGTTGGTTAGAATTTAACAAAGTTTGTATCTATCTTTAATTTAATTTCAGCGATATCAAGAAAGCCAGATTGTTGTTAAAATCCGTGAGGGAGACGAATCCCAATCATCCACCAGCGTGGATCGCTTCTGCTCGTTTGGAAGAGGTCACTGGGAAAGTGCAGGCAGCTCGGAATTTAATAATGAAAGGCTGCGAAGTGAACCCTACGTCGGAAGATCTATGGTTGGAAGCGGCCAGGCTGCAACCGCCAGACACAGCTAAAGCGGTGATCGCTCAATCGGTACGGCATATACCAACATCCGTTCGAATATGGATAAAAGCAGCGGATTTGGAAATCGAGACGAAAGCAAAGAGAAGAGTGTACCGCAAAGCATTGGAGCATATTCCGAATTCAGTGAGACTGTGGAAAGCTGCAGTGGAGTTGGAAGAACCGGAAGACGCGCGAATTTTGCTCAGCCGGGCAGTCGAGTGTTGCCCAACCAGCGTTGACTTGTGGCTTGCTCTCGCTCGATTAGAAACCTATGACAATGCCAGAAAAGTTCTTAACAAAGCAAGAGAAAATATCCCAACGGATAGGCAAATTTGGACAACAGCCGCAAAGTTGGAAGAGGCGAACGGAAATAAACATATGGTGGAGAAAATCATCGATCGCGCAATATCTTCTTTGAGCGCGAACGGGGTGGAAATCAATAGAGAACATTGGTTTAAAGAAGCTATGGAGGCTGAAAAGGCTGGGGCAGTGCATACCTGTCAGGTTATTGTTAAGGCGATCATTAGTTTTGGAGTGGAGGAAGAGGACAGGAAACATACATGGATGGAAGACGCAGAAACAGTAATATCTTATACTTTATTTTTATAATAATAAACTAATATTTTCTAATTTTATATTTCTATTTATTGTTGCACGAGCGATTGCTTAATTCAATTATCGTTTTAGTGCGCTCAACAAGGGGCATTGGAATGTGCTAGAGCAGTCTATGCTTATGCGTTATCGACGTTCCCCAGTAAAAAGTCAATTTGGCTGCGCGCAGCTTACTTTGAGAAAACTTATGGCACGCGAGAGTCTTTGGAGTCTTTACTTCAAAGAGCGGTTGCCCACTGTCCGAAGAGCGAAGTACTTTGGCTCATGGGTGCAAAGTCGAAGTGGTTGGCTGTAAGTGAAACTCGCCAAAAAGTGAACATTCGTGAAAGCGTATTTACCACATGCGTGTCTTCTTTTGTTTCAAGGGAGACGTCCCAGCAGCGAGAGGTATTTTATCACTTGCGTTTCAAGCGAATCCAAATTCCGAAGAGATTTGGCTAGCAGCTGTGAAGCTGGAATCAGAGAATTCCGAATACGAGAGAGCTAGACGATTGCTCGCGAAAGCAAGAGCGTCTGCACCAACTCCTAGAGTGATGATGAAAAGCGCGAAATTGGAATGGGCTTTGAACAACCTCGACGCGGCGTTACTGCTTCTGAAAGAAGCTCTAGAAGCATTCGATGATTTCCCGAAACTGTGGCTAATGAAGGGACAAATCGAAGAACAACAAGGGAATTTAGACAAAGCTTTAGACACATACAATCAAGCTGTAAGTCTTCTTATTTGTTTTTCTTTTTTTTTGTTAATTTTAATCTTAGGCATTGATGTCATCATTTGTTTTATAGATCAAAAAATGTCCCAATTCTATACCACTGTGGCGTTTACTGGCACAGTTGGAGCACAGAAAGGGTCAAGTTACCAAAGCCAGATCGGTGTTGGAGAAGGCTCGGTTAAAGAATTTAAAGAACCCAGAGCTTTGGTTGGAAGCTATCAGAAATGAATTAAAAGTTGGCGGTGTCAGAGACATGGCAAACACACTCATGGCGAAAGCGCTTCAGGAATGTCCAACATCTGGCTTGCTTTGGGCAGAGGCGATCTTTATGGAACCTCGGCCACAAAGAAAGACAAAAAGTGTCGATGCTTTGAAAAAGTGCGAGCACGATCCACACGTGCTTCTTGCAGTATCCAAGTAAATGATCAACAACTTGTCACGATATTTTTGCAAATTAAAACGGACTATTCCGACCATTTTTTATTATTTTAATCGTTATTTTGCAGATTATTCTGGTGTGAGCATAAAATTTCGAAGTGTCGGGACTGGTTCAATCGTACGGTGAAAATAGATCCAGACTTGGGAGATGCGTGGGCATATTTTTACAAGTTCGAACTTTTAAACGGAACGGAGGAGCAGCAAGAAGACGTGAAGAAAAGATGCATCGCCGCAGAACCTCACCATGGTGAAAATTGGTGCAAAGTATCAAAGAATATAGCAAACTGGTGTCTAAGTACCGATCAAATCTTAGTATTAGTTGCAAAAGATTTGCCAATTCCAATATAATTAATAAAGTAATTTAAGTAAATATTGTATATATATATATATAACTATTTTCTAAAACCTAGTATTAATTATAACAGTAGAATAAATGACGTTTTAAATCGAGCAGAATTTTTTGAAACTTCATATATATATATACCTGCAATTTAATTTAAATAACAAGGACTCAAGATAATTTTAGTTTTGGATGTTTTTAAAATATTTTATCATGTTTAATGTAACCAGTAGAAAACTTGTTGCAGATGAGATCTAGAACTCTGTGCATATCATCTATAGTTAAAACAATTCTCAACTAAAAATTTGCACCGGTAATATTAACGATCTAAAATACATTTGACAACTGTGAGGTAATCCGTGCTCATTCACTTAATAAATACCTTTGCTTCGCTATTCTATATAAAATACATTTCTTGCTATACCAAAGGTAACATTTATATTACATTTATTGTATTTATTTATTACGTTACATTTATTACATTTACAAATATATTACATCTTTCAGTTTACAGGAATATCCAATATTTTTATAATTGGCATACCTATTTAATTTAGATAAAAGATGGAACGTTTGTTGAGAAGTATCGTAATGGACAGCGTTGCCTCTTCGTTGAATAAACCAATTTTCCCAAACGTACCGCGATATCTCGAAACGTTAGAAACACCGAACGCGAGACTGCCCATATGACGAGCAGCTGGGATAACTGCGAGATGAGTCATTCCGACTCTCGTCAACCCCTAGAACGTCCTTCAGTCTCGCTCCCTTTCCATTGTTCCAGAAATAGCAGCGGCGCATTCCTCCGCTACCTTTGCTTACACGCGACTGCGATTCCAAATAATTCAGCAATATTATAAATTGCTATCAAAAAAAAAAAGTCATATCAATACAAGCATGATCTAACAGTGTAAATACTGAAATATCGAAAGTGAGTTTACGCTTGAAAAACATGGAAACTTTTTCGTGCGTCGAATGCGAGATCACGCTCGCCGCGAAGGGTGAGTCAGCCACCCTCCTGATGACGGTCAAGGAGACCATTGGAGGAAGTGTTCGACGAAAAGTGGAGGGAGGAACTCGATAGAGGAAGGGGATTGAAATCGGTGGTACGCGATTGGCTGACATTCGGGGTCGGAATTCGTGGTGGGGTTTAGAACAGCGGCGAGCGTTGGATCGGCAGAAGGAAGAGAGTGGAAGAGCGGCTCGCCGGTGTTACCTGGTGTTACGTGTCGTACGGAATCACTAGCCGGTTAGTCAGTGTACTGTCTCCATCCTGTCCTTGAACGTTTCGCTGGGAACGGTGTTTGCGCTTGCCTACCTCTCCAAGTGACAACTGACAGGTTAGTGCTCTTTGTCGCCGGCGTATTCCATCGACGATCGTTTAAATTGCATGCAAACGGTTCGTGTGGCTGGAAAGGCATTCGGGTTCGAAAAGCGAGTCGGTTATTCTTTCTTATAGTTAAAAAGAAGAAGAAAAAAAGAGAGAGAAGGCAGTATCGTGCACCGTGTCCGTACACTTGCACGTTTGTTTTTTTTGTTTTTTTTTTTTTTTTTT